TCTGATTTGCATTATGGTGAGGAAATGGAAAGGGGAACTTAAAGTAAAGGCTAAAATTATAAAAAACTGGTTAATTTGCATAATAATAACTGTACACATTCATCGAAGAATAATTTTTTTTCATTCAGTTTCTTTCTTCAATTCGTTTTCTCTTCATTTTAGAATTTTTGGAATTAATTAAAGATTTCTGTTATTTTAAAAAACCAATGCATTTAGAATGTAAAGAAAAAACTGATAAATATGAAATGATGTATAGTAAGAGCTGGTTTCAGCGCCGATGAGGCAGAATTTTTAGTTTAGTGACACACTCAGCAACAAAATGTAGAAATGGCAATTTTTTTAGAATTTAGGACAGGCAGTGGGAGTAGAATTTAGGATCAATGGAGATTGCACCAGGTGGGAAAATGCCTAGCATCAGACCTGTGTATGATGCATTAAGACACATTAGATGAATCGTTTAAATCGCCAGCTTCCAATTTCTTTATTAATAAAAAAAATTCCTTTCTATAATGCCTGTCCATGTGATAAGATTAGAAGCATTTTAAATATTTTCCATGCTTGTGTCTAGTGAAAAGTAGAGAAAATAAAGGGAAGATAAACATGTTAAGAAAAAGATTTTAGTATTAGAAGTAAAACATTCAAATGCTATGTTTGTTCTTCCAGACGTTCTCTAAAAAGTGAAATTCAGCGCAAACTTCCTGTAAAATACATCCATTATGTGTTAATACCATGGAGACATTTTTCATTTTGTCACGTATTTCTGGAATCTTCTAGAATCGTAGGTCTATAAACCTTGCCTTCAAATCCTTCTAAACTTTCCAAGCTGCAATGTCTACGATCCTAAAGAAAAATTATCCCTACCAATTCTGTAGCAGTAAAAAGCCAGAAATATTTTTGGAAAAAAAAGGGGGGAGCCAAAAAGTGTAAAATTAATTTTATAAAGAAAACTGATACATATTCTGAGAATTCTGATTATTTGAGACAATTAGATGAGAACAACTCTTACTACGAAAATTTTTTAAAAAGAAGACATTTTTAACTAATTACATAGCTAATTTTGCTTTTGCTAAGAACTATTCCGTAAATTGTGCCTAATAACATTATACCTTGTTTATTTTTCAGATCCAAAATATCGTATAATAAGTTGCCAAAATGAAACTTTATAATATGACTGCAAAACATAAAAATGTTCTATTTTAATATTATTTTTTAAATACAGTACAAAGTCTGTAATCCGGACCTTAAAGCTGCAAACTTTATACGCATGCGTGTTTAATGTATAATGGATGGTATAAGCTAGGTTAAAATTATCTAAGACATTCCAGTTAATGTTGCAGATTGCGCTGTTCCTTAATCTTCTAATTGGATTCGGCTTATTATTTTTTGCAGACTGTTAGAACAATTTTATAAAAATTAAGCTTGAACTTTCGATTATGTCAAAAAGAGTTTCCAGTTCTAGAGCTGCCAAAGGATCTACAAAGAGAAAGCATGCTTTGATGCCCATTAAACAAAAAGTGGAATTGCTGCAAAAAATAAATAAAGCCCTATCCGTCTCAAAATTATGCGAGAAGTATGGCATTGGAAATTCCACTATATATGACACAAGAAAAAGGAACTTTTTGAATTTTTTGTGGAAGCATCTTAAACAACTTACATTGAAAGAAATGTTTAATAAAGTAAAAAATTAAATATTAAGCTTTTTTTCTGTAAATTTTGATACCCTTTAGACCATAATTGTTCTTTATTTCATAAATTACGATTTCATATTTTTAATTGTGTAATTTCTGCATGCCATCTTACCAGATTTAAATTGATGATCTATAATCCGGAAAAAATCCCGATCCGGAATCGCCGAAGTCTCAACGAGTCCGAATTACGGACTTTGTACTGTATAATTTTGATATATTACCATTATTTTAATGAAATTTATCAATGTTACAATGTTTTCAAAAACATCTCAGAATTAAAACTTTTCCAAAGAAATTGATCTTAAAATCGCCAAAATGTTGATAAGTCACCAAATTTAGAATTGTTTAATAAAAGAATTCACATCCTCAAAAGCGAAAAGTTGTTTAAAAACTCTTCATTAGAAAAAATGAATTTCAAAATGCTTATGTTTCACTTCTTGCTTAGAAATTCGATTATCCCACCATTTATATTAGAAATAGGAACAAATTATAACCCATGAACCCATTCAAAAGATACCCAAATATGTCAGAGAATCGCCAAAAATATTCCTCCACAATACTAATTCACATTCAAAATGGCAGTCGTAAAAACAGACAAAAATTTCAGAGGATTAAAATTAACGACCTTCTGCCGATTTAGACCAAAATTAAGAATTTTCAAGGACCAAAAATCGATTGCAAAATAACTTAAGGACTTTCAAGGACCATACAAACCCTGAACATCAGAAAACATTTTCAGAGTGTTATCCACTCTGAAAATGGTTATCTGAAAACCCAATCTGAAATCTCATAAATTTCAGATTGTTTTTAGTCACGGAGATCAAGTGCACATGAATTTACATCTCGCAAAAAAGGATTATTAATCCAGAGGTTACCTTTATATGGATTAGTTTCAGGGAAACAATGATTAAAGTTTTCAGCTAATGTCCCTAAATGTTGGTTTATTACGCTGAATATCACTTTTTGATTGATGTTAGCAGAAATCAAGAATTCTGTGAAAAGTGGAAATGTTTCTCAATCTTTCTCTCATAAGCAACTATCCCAAATAGCCAGTTTCTTTTTTGAATGTTGCAATTTAGTTATAAGTGTAAAAATATTCACATATGATCCCTGAAGAGAAATATTAAGTTCATTAAGAAAGCCATATATGAAAGTTTAGCCAGCCAATTCTTTATTTAACAAATTATGAACTTGGCAAGATTTTTGCTCGACTTCTACCATCAGATTGAAAAGACGTGCAAGAACCCTTCCTTTTGCTAACCTCAGTTCTGCATGGAATAAAAAATGGTTTGAGTCCTACTCTCACACAAAATCCTAAATAACTGAAATTTGTAGCCTGACTATGAATTTAGTTAATTATCTTCACTGCATCATTCCCTGGTGTTATTTAATTCAGAGCAATGTTTCTTTGCTACTGGGTGTTTCTGGTGGACCATGCAATGAGTAAACAAAGTTTCTGCTTATGCAGCTTCTTTTTCTCATTGACAGCCAGTCATCCTAGCAGCCCCGTCTGTACACAATACAATGCATTTGCCCCAGTTTAAGATCTGAGCTGGAAAATACTCATTAAGGTTATGAACTTGTAGTATATTCAGTAAGTTAAGGCAGCACAGAAATCCTTTCTATTAAGTCTTTATCACCATTATATCCTGCAAAGCAAAGCAAGATAGTATGGTTACTCATATCAGTCAAGCTGAATTTCAAAACATTTTGATTTTTTGATCACTTCTATAACTTGCATTTCTATGTCAGCAGCCATGTCAAAATTCTTCTTATTATAGTGTTATTCAAGTGTGGCACAGCTACTAGTTTTTTAATTGCTTGAAGACCTGAAATTTCTTGTATGACAATGATGTTCTTCTTCTATGATGTAAAGCTTTACTAGCTCCTTCCCAGCTGCATATGGGTTTTTGTTTTAGCAACCTGTAGAGTAACTAAATAAAATGCATGAAGCAGAGACTTGTCATTATTTTTATGTGAGGCTTTGCAGATGATATCTGGTAATGCAATCATACAAAAAATCCAGTGGCCTATCAATACAGTTTCTGTTCTTTGAATGCAAATGACAAGTCAGTTTAAATGGTTTTAAATGGTTCATAGCCTCATTTGAAAGAATTTCATAACCTACTACACACAAAGGTCTTGGTGACACTTTACTGCCAGTAGCTACAGCAAAATTAAGCTTTGAATAATTTTTATCATAATGTGTAACAAAGCATCTGTTTTTCTTTTTGATTTCTACCATACATTCCGAAATTAAATACACTTCCTTTTCTTTGTTTCTTCTAAACTTGCTGAACTAGTGCTTGCAATACTTTTGGTTTATGCACTACTTTTCTTGGGAATATTAATCTTGCCATTAACTAGATAAAAAAATATTAAAAGATTTTGTTGTATGACCTTATTTTTCTCCATTTTTTTTCAAGTTTTATCAACAAACAATTAGCTTAATGCTTAAAAAGGACATAAAATTTCTTAATTACTTTTTCAGAGAACATGCAGCAAAGTTTTGTGGACTAAAGGTGAGGAAACACTGATGTAAAGGTACCACTTCCAGTTGTTCAGTTTTAGCCAAAATATAATCAACTCTTTACAAGAATGCAGAACACTTTAAAAACAGGAAACAGAAATTTTTGGAAATTTGATGCAAGAGTTATAGTGGATGAAAAAATCGTCACAGGCATGCAGAGATATTATTTAAAAAATAGTAAAAACGTGTTTTGGAGACCCTAATTTGTGCTTATACACTGCAAATTCTTATTGAATTTTTGGACTCAAAACATTAGCTCCCTTATCTATGTATATAGGTTAGTGGGAGGTAATAAAACAGGAAATGAAGCCTTATAGGTATAACAGATAAGTATGCAGTAAAAAAATCATGTCTTTTTAAAAGACTAGTACTCACTAAATAAGCCATATCTTAAAAATTATAAAGAATTTTACAATTCATTGTAACAAAAACTGACATAAAATTGCCACAATAAAAATTTAACAGTATAATTTACTAAAGATTTTTTTTTTCCAAGAACTTTCACAGAAAGGTTTTTTTATTATGAACAACAATAGTAAATTCTAAATCTTACTTTTCTTTCAAAAACTTAAGTATTTAAAGAATTTATAATAGCTGTGAATAATTTTAAGAAAGGGAGAAAGTCCTTTCTTGGTAAAGCAGTCATCACACATGTATTTGGCAATATTTGAAATTTAGATGTTGCAAATTGGGTGATTAAGTTTGCCAGTTTTGGTGACTAAGATAAGTGGCAACTTTAACAAGGAAGTAATGGGAGGGGGAAAATATATATATATACATACATCTAGTGAACACAATTTTTGCACTTGATCCATTATCAAAGATCGAAGAGGTGAAACAACTATAGTCACTCCACTGGTAACTAAAGCAGGAAGCTGATAACATAAACTTTTACCTCCACCTACATGAAAAGGAATATACAATATGATTTCATACTACCTAAATGCAGCAAATACTACTATTTTTCACATCCTGATTTCTTTTCTATGAATTTTGCAATAACCGAGTTTATATTGTACAGCTAAAATTTTAAAGATGATATAAAGACATATTGAGAATTTAACCACTTACGCTAAAAAGACATGCCATGCACGTCAAGATGCTTCTGTCTCAAACCGCGAGCGACGTGAACACCACGTCGATAGGCATTTATCGCAAAAATGAAAATAACGTGGTGCACATGTCGCCTAACAACGAGATTGTTTATTTCTCGCGTTACAGCTCTGGATTGTACTCGCAGACGCAGAGTGGCATAAATGAGACATTTTGCCGCTTGTTATATTGTAGCAACCGTGAAGTTTAGTCGTAGCGCAAGTGGTTAAAATATAAGATATAATAAGCAAAAAATTGTTATTTTTATTTTTGCTATATTTTCAGTGGGAGGACTAAAGATCACTGCAGTCCACCTTAAAACCTAGTGCAGTGTGTCAAACTCAAATTGCACATGGGCCAAATATATATATATATATATATATACATATATATATATATATATACAATATATATATATATATATACAATATATAGATATTTACATATATATATATATATAACAATATATATATATATATACAATATATATATACAAAGGGAGAGAGAAGCTTGCTTTGGATTGCTTGAACTTTGGATTATGTCAAATACATTTTCCGATGCTGGAGCTCCAAAGGATCTACAAAGCGAAAGTATGTTTCAATGTCCATCAAATAAAAAAAGGAATTGCTGCAAAAAATGGATAAAGGCATATATCCTTTGATTATCTAATCTTTCCGAAATATGTTTATCAATTTCACACTGCTCTGCAGGGGGAGGGAAACGACACGACGCGCAATTTAAAAAAAGTTAAATTAACAATTTTTTTGCTACATATTTGTCTCTCTCTCCCTTTGTATATGTATATATATATATATATATATAAAGATTGCAAATTCAAAATTTACATTTATACGTATTTTCTGTCTGAAATCTGCAAGAAATTTGTTGGTCAGACTTTGTAATACAAGTGTACTTGACAGCTAAATATTAAAATTTTCAAAGTGACATTTATTCAAATAATTCTAATACATGAGTAACTATTAAATAAATTACTTAAAATTTAAGCTAAAAATATGCATGAAAATTTAATGAGAGGGACCTAGGGAATAAATAATGACAATTTATTCTCTGTTTTTTTTATTTATTACATTTTTCTATGAAACATACAGAAAAAATACATGTATACTAAATAATTATATACTTATTTTTGTTTCTGACTACACCTTTCTTAGTGCAACCTGGGTCCGATTCCAGATAAACGGCTATATTTGTGGTGTTCCCCCTGCGTAAGATGGATACGAGCCAGTTCTTTTCTTCAAATTCTTGTTATAATAATGCTCATTAATTTACAGGAAATGTGTTCACAGGCCACATAAAATTGCTTTATTATTAAATTGACTATAGATCTAGTGGTTTTTGATTTCTTCTCTTTCAAAGAACATTTTGATTGCACACATCAAAATGATGAGGATATCTTCACAAAAGTGACATGACAGATAATGGAATTGCATGCTCTATGAAATCGTTTGACAAACCTTTTTCAAAAATGGGAAAGATAAAAAATTTAGGCTCGGCAGGCCAACTACAGACATGAAGATATAAATGGGTAATTTTACTCAGAGAGCCCCTCCCTCCAAAAAAATTAATTGTTTTTATAATGAAGCAACACTGTTACATAATATTTATACAAATTTTACTAACACTTAAAACAAAAATTAACAATAAATTATATTTCCATATTTAAAAACATTATTAAATAGATTAAAATTATTAATACAGTCAAAAGTTGTTAATTCGGACACCCATAATCTGGAATGATCTATAATCCGGACCTCAAAGCTAAAAACTTTCTGCGCATAGGCATTTACGCGTGCACGTAAGACCTTTACGGCTGCAAATATACATGTGCGCATGCGCATTTAATGTAAAACGGACGGTATAAGCTAAAACTATCTAATTATTTATTTCAATTAATGTTGCAGATTGCGTTGTTCCTTAATCTTAGAATTGGATCCGGCTTATTATTTTGCAGACTGTTAGAGCAATTTTATAAAAGTAAGCTTGAACTTTGGATTATGTCAAATACATTTTCCGATGCTGGAGCTCCCAAAGGATCTACAAAGCGAAAGTATGTTTCAATGTCCAATAAATAAAAAAAGGAATTGCTGCAAAAAATGGATAAAGGCATATATCCTTTGATTATCTAATCTTTCCGAAATATGTTTATCAATTTCACACTGCTCTGCAGGGGGAAGGGAAACGACACGACGCGCAATGAATTGGAAGTTGATCTGTCAACACTATCCTTATCTTCAGAGCAGATGTTTTTATTTTATTTGGCTTATAATTCTTTACTAAATGTAGTATTTCATCTTGATGTACTCAGTCTTTGATATGATTTAAATCAAGTTCCTCCTCATTATAATTCGCTTCCGATAGTGAAGAAAGTGACTCAGTGGTTATTGAAAACGAAAAAATTTCGATTGACAAATTAGCCGATATTCTCAACACAGCAATTATAGGACTTGAACAGCGGAACTTTGTAAGTAAACAAGAAATTATGTCTGTTTAATAGAATTAAAGAGAAAGTATTATCACATGAAACAAAGCAAATTAAACAACTTATATTGAAAGAAATGTTTAATAAAGTGAACAAATAAATATTTAGCTTTTTCTTTTTGTAAATTTTGATACCCTTTACATCATAATTGCTGTTTATTTCATAAATTACGGTTTCATATTTTTAATTTTATAATTTCTGCATGTCATCTTACCAGATTTAAACTGATGATCTATAATCCGGAAAAATCGATAATCCGGAATCGCCAAAGTCCCGAGGAGCCAGGATTAATGACTTTTGACTGTATAAAGAATGCAATTGTTTTTTCTAAGATAATATTTCGTCACACTGGAGTTCAAAATTCCATTAATGTTACTAACCCATCAAAGTTGCTTGCAAATGGTTATCTGTTAATAATGATATGAATTGTGATTTTACATACTTCATTTTTGAAAAGTCTTTTTGAATTGTTAAGTACTCCTAAATATGGGTATAAATTCCCCCTGCATAAGCTTTTATTTGGACATATTTAATTTTATGAAAGATATTGGCTGTAAAATATTAGCTTAGATCCTTTTCTTTAAACATCATTCTGCAAATCCGTCACTTCCAGCTGAAAGTCTGATGGAGGCTCCTCAATTATAGAATCAAATGGATTTTGAAACATGGAAATTTCTATTGTACTTGCATTAAGATCCATAAAACACTGTTGTAACAGTAGTACAAGTTAAAAAAAAAAATACATTCTGTGCAAATTTTGGGGAATGGAGATTTCATGAAAATTTGAAATTTTCTACAGCATGAAAAATGGCCAAATTTGTTTAATGCTATTTGAATTTCAAACAATGCACATTTTTGGTGATATGCCTTTACAACAGAATACATTTCACATATATGCACTGTTTTTGGTGTAATTTTAACACTTTTAAAGCAGACTAAACATAATAAAGGCATACAAATTTTTAATCAACTGAAATTTACGAAAAAGATTTAAAACAAAATAAACTATAGTAGCATTAATGTTAGTGAACAGTTCTAAATAATTATATATTTTGAACCATATATCAATTTCCATTTTAGCTAGAGAAGTCACAGTGGACATCAGTTGTTTGTTCTTGTCACCATTACAATGTCGTATGTGGCTGATCTTGTACAGGAAAAAAGTGTCTTAAATTTTACAGAATTTTTCATATTACACCATAAGATATGTGAGACACTGTATTCAGGCTACTAGAAAGAACTGATGTACAAAATTTTGGCATTAATCCACTTACTATTTCAAAACAGGCAAAATTTGATCATGATCATTACATAACTTCAGTGCCATAAAAGTAGTTCAGATTAAAAAAAAACACTGAAACTAAATCCAGATCTGCAGATATTTGTGGGAAATCATATTTTGCACAAAGATAGTTTCGCATCTTTAGATAATGTCATTATTTGCATTGTAGAAATAGATTAACTAGGGTGGATTGGATATTAACAGTTAAGTTTGCCTTTCACTCTTTTCATTAAAAAAATCAGATGGTTATTTGTTAATAATGACCTGAATTGTGACTTTACATGCTTTTGAAAATGTCTCTTGGAATTGTTAAGAACCCCCAAATATGGATATAAAATCCCCCTGCATATGCTTTTATTTGGACATATTTATTTTTATGAAAGATATTGGCTTAGATCCTTTTCTTTAAATATCATTTTTCAAATCAATCACTTTCAGCTGAAAGTCTGATGGAAGCCCCTCAGTTATAGGATCAGATGGATTTTGAAACATGGAATTTCTTTTGTACTTACATTAAGATCTATAAAACACTGTTGTAACAGTAGTACAAGTTCAAAATATATGTTTTGTGCAAATTTGGGGGAATGGGGATTTGAAGTTTTGAATTTTTTGGATGAAAATTTGAAGTTTTCTACAGCATGGAAAATGGCCAAATTTGTTTAATGTTATTTGAATTTCAATCAGGGCAAATATTTGATGATATGCCTTTACAACATAATGCACTTCACATATGAGCACTGTTTTCCAGTGTAATTTTAAACTGAATTCGTTGAGATATTCCACGAAATCTGTGGCAAATGCTAATTTCCATAGCTATTTTCTGTTTGATAATAAAGAGTGTAGGTAAATTTCTCATTAAGAAAATATATCTATGACCTCTCTCAGTCCAAAGAATCTCAACAAAACTTTCCCACTATATGATAAGGCAAGTCAGGATATTCAGCTTCGATCTCCAATAAAAACTAATCGAACTGATGATGATGAAGTTCATGAGAGTGAATGAAGCTTACTACTGATACAACTGGCTCAATAACATATGATAGATTGAGGTGTTTCCCACAAAGAGCTGCTGGTGAATAATACTAGGAATTAGCAGAGGTTTTAAACAATTATCATCTTTACAAGCCTTTAAAATTTGTCTAACTAATCTTTTCCCCATTCCACACATATTTTTTTCCATCATCAGTTGTGATGCATTTTACATGATTTCATTGCAAATTGTACTGTGTTAGCATTTCCTTGAAGATATCTTGATCTGTAGTTGTTCTATGTAGACTATTCACAGAATGCAATCATTTAATCACTTTAAATTCAGCATTGATCTCTCAAATAAGCATCAATAATTGGGCAGTATCAGTAAGACATGCCAACTCATCAACAGCCAATGAAAACCATTTGAAATTTTTTGCCTTATCTTTTAATTGACTCTTGATATGGCTCCCAATGTCCTCAACTAACATTTCTAAGAGTTGTCGCCAAAAGACTGACAGATGGAAACCTCTATTTTTTTCTCGGCACATTTCTTTGGCTGCCATAAACACATATGATTTAATTATTTCACCACTGGTAAATGGTTTTCCTTTTGTGGATAAGGTTCCACAAAAGATGGAATGATGGTTTTTTTGTGTGGCTAATAAATGAGCTATTTGTAAACAGACTTTAGTTATTGCTTCATTATAGTTTTTTTATTTTTAAGAATATACTGTGTAGTGATGACGCATTCTGCATTAAATTTTTCCAATTTTTAGGATCGTTCATTTTCTGTGAGGTTTGAATACTGAGTCAACATAAAACTTTGTCATTTAATTTTGTGAAAAAATAATTAGCACTTCATTCTGCTTTAAAAGCATGACATTCGAGATCTATTTTTTTCTTCTTATTTGATTTTAAGAATGACAAGGTAATGTTAGGTAATGAATGAAATAAAATATCACAGAGTATCGTGACAGACAATACCCCCACACAGCTAAAGCAAAACTGTCAACATATTTGCATGGAATACAATGCACAAATATCTGCCTGTTCGAAGTGTTTTTGAAAAACAAGCGAAAGAATACGACTATAGCGTCAATTGCAGTCATTAGTCACAACTTTTCAACTCAACTATCGACCATTGCATAATATCACATAATTTGATTTATTTTTAATGCAAAAATTAGTCCTGCAGGCCATAGTTTGCTGAACCCTGCTCTATGAGAAGAGCATAAAAAACATCTTTTATGCTTAGATATATGCCTCATTTGTCATGGCCATTATGTAGGAAAATAAGGTATCTATCACATAACAGAATATATAAATAAATTTTGGTCTTAAAACTATTTTTTGGGAAGTCCTCACCTATACCAAACTTGATTACTTTTGCTAATTAACACAATGGCAAAACAATAGAGGAAAAAAATATGGTTAACTGAAAAACCGCCTTATATACAACAAAGTGTTTCAAAATTAAATTTAATTATAACAAGATTAAAATTTAGATTTTTCTTGCCTCTTCCTTTCCAAAAGTCCATTACATATCTTTGGTTTGCTACATATAATTACTTTTTTTTCATGCTATTGGACAAATACGTGCAAAGCTGTGATGTCATTATGTTCGAACTAATGACTGGAAGACTATGTTGCTTAATGTTGTGTTATTTTAATATGAAACTGACAGGACTGGAGACAACATTTTTGGCACCCAAGGCAGTCACATATAAATTAAGCACCATAATAATTCAAAGCAAAATGTGCCTTAAACTGTTAACTGTTGTTTGTGAGAATAACTTAGATTATGCTCTCTGAGAATCAGCATCCTACGCATTCCATCTACACCCCTAGTGCTGAAGCCAAGCTGGGACAGTTGACTAACCACACCAAAGCATTAGTCAGATTCAGTCAGATTTCAGTAATATTCCTGAAGATTTATTAACAGCAGATAACTGCTGGTTATAATCTAGCTACCTTGATTGGTATAGTAGTTAGCTATGCAGGCTGCCGTATTGTTATGGCTAGGTATGAATCACGGAAAATGTATGGATGTTTGTCAGTATATAGTGTTTGTGCGGCATGGAGGCGATTAAAATACTGGCAGACCGAAAGTCCTCGCAAGTGGCTAGGTGGTAGCAGAAGAGGAGTGGGAGACCCTCAAAACTATAAATACCTTCGGTGCTTTTTATCAAAATTCAGGCACAGCTGCACAGTTAGTGCAGTGGAATTATACCTGTAAGACGAATGATGAGATTCTGGTGTCCTGCCCACTTCTAACTGTATCTGGTTACCATCTAAACTATCATACACTATTTATTAGAAATGCTATTAATGAGATGTTAAGCATATACAAGATGCCCATATGAAAAATCACAAGTATCTGGAATTTGTTTATGCCAAGATAAAAAGTGTGTTAAGAAATCTTCCAGAAACAGAAGTCAAAAATGAAAATAAAAGAATAAAAGTGCTACTAATTAAAAATAATCATCTAATTTTATGGAGTGTTGATACCAATAGCTGAGTCACAGAAAGACAGAACGACATCACTGCTTATTGCAAGGACATCCATTAATAGTAGTGCATGAATTCCTGAATGTACGTTACATTATTCTGGATATTGAAAGTGCAGGCTCACTCTAATGTTGGTGCTGTAATCTTGCCTCACTGGCTCTTTATTTGATATGGACACAAAAATTTTAAAATCTCATGACAGTTGACTGAAAATACAAAAGCTGATTACACATTGCACAAAATATGAATTTTGTCAAAGACCTAGAAGACTGTTGTTGGCAGAAACATCAACAAGGAAATCAACCCAACATGTAAAAAGAGCATTCAGCATGGTTGTGGATGCTCAACAACTGTATAGGAAGTCTGCAGTTGGTACTGCTTAGAACTATCAGCATACTGGAAATAAATAAAATGTATTGGATATTGGTAATATCAATATCTCCATTTTTTTTACAAACATTTTAATTATAAGGTATGACTTGCTTTGCCATAAAAAGTTCTCCTTTCCACAGATGCACCTGCTCCATAGGTATATGAGTAAAGACTAACAGATACCATGGTATAAAATGAATTTAAACTCACTGAATACCCTAACAAGATACCTCAAAACTCTCTGTTAATATAGATATTCTATATCTTCCCTTAAAGTTTGTATGTGGAGTTTTGAGATATTATGCATTGATATTTGAATCAGATATATATAAAAGAGAAAAGTATCTAAATTTTAGTTATAAAGAGCATAAAATCGTTAATAGCTTTGTAAATATATTCAAACAAATTTTATACAGTAGACATCGACAAAAATATTTTAATTTCCAATCTTAACCATTTTAATATATTATTTTCAAATGTAACCAATTTTAAATAAAAAAGAGATATAAAGTGATTTAACTCAAATTTTATTAATAAGAATTTACCTGTTGGCATGAGAACAAAGCAGTCTTCTTTTAAAAGTGCAGCATTTATTGATTCTAGCTGATTATGGCGAAATGTTTTTAATCCAAAAATGTTATGAAACACATATAAGACATCTTTAGAAAAAGGAAAATTGAATCCCTTAAATTCTGCAGAAGCACCATCATCTCGTTGATTTCCATAAAATTTGCCAGCTATAACTATAAGAAAAACATATTTTAAATATCATGTAAGAGCATGTTCAGAATAATATTTCTAATAGAGTAAAAATAGTTTTTTTTATTAATATTAAATTACGAATCTACAAGAATAAAGTAAGATAAAAATTATAGGATTTATATTCCAATAAAAACTCACTGTGTTTATCTTCATTTGAGAGTTTAGATTTTCTGTTTGATTCTAAAAAACATAAATTTTTTTAATAAGATTTCTTGCATACTCACAATTAAACACTTCTTATTCTAGAAAAGCAATATCTTGATTTTCAAAAGTTAACACTCTTTAATTTTGTTTATTCCAACAAGTGTTGAATTTTAAATTATTTTAAACTTCTTTTTATGAGCTATAACATTAATATAAATTTTTTGTGCTTGTATACTCCTTTAATACTAAAATATAAAAAAGAAAGTAATAAAACATTAGCTTAGGAATTTCTGCAAATCAATTTCCAATCATTTCAAGAAATTAAGAAGTTACCAAGATATTCCTTTTTTGCGCAATGAAACACTAGGTGAAAATGAAAGGCAAATTTATGAACATACTAAAGCAAACTAAACATAATAAACACATACAAATTTTTAATGTACAAAAAAGATTTAAAACAAAATAAACATTAATGTTAATTAATGTTTATTAATGAAGCATTAATGTTAGTGAACAATTAATGTTAGTTCTAAATAATTATATATTTTGAACCATCTATCAATTTCCGTTTTAGTTAAAGAAGTAACTTGTTTGTTCTTGTCACCATTATACAATGTTGGAAGTGGCTGATCTTGTACTGGAAAAAAGTGTCTTAAATTTTACAGAAATTTTCATATTATACCATAAGAGATGTGAGACACTGCATTCAGGCTACTAGAAAGAACTGATGTACAAAATTTTGGCATTAATCCATTTAGTTTTTTAAAATAGGCAAAATTTAATCATGATCATTACATAACGTCAGCACCATAAAAGTAGTTCAGATTAAAAAAAAACACTGAAACTAAATCCAGATCTGCAGACATTTGTGGGAAATCATATTTTGCACAGAGTTCCTCATCTTTAGATAATGCCATTATTTGCATTGCAGAAATAGATTAACTAGGGTGAATTGGATATTAACAGTTAGGTTTGCCTTTTGCTCTTTTGATTAAAAAAATCAGATTGGTTATTTCACAAAATATGATTATTTTTACACATAAAAATTTTAGACACCAGTATGTACTGTCATTCAAACACATATTTAGAATATCTTTAAATACATCTTTCATTATTACAGATATATTACATACCTATTCTGTTAGTATTGACTTCATGCAGAAGTGTTTGTTTGACAGCTAACAGTCTTAATGAGTTGTCTAAAAATTTACATTCAATATTTTACTTCTTATTTTTACACTATACGTATAACTTATTTTGAAACTGAAGGAAAAAAAGTAATTCCAAACAACATAAATTTTAGTTATGTAAGTGAAAATTAATTATTTATACATTACTTCTAATCATTTTCAAACAATGCATTACATACTTACCAAAAACACCTTCTGGTTCATCATCACAGATTTGATACACAGTATGATCAAAATTAAGGTCTTGGGTTTCCAGATTATCTATCAGTACAGTAAAATCCTTCAAGTTGTTTACAGCATCTGAATTACTTTCATTAGCAGGAAGAGAAATCATATTTTTTGAAGAATGTTCTAGAACAGAATGCTTTCTTAATAATGATAAAGGCTTAAAGGTCAAATGCAAATCCTGGTTTGTCTCTTGAAATAATGGAGATGATTTAATTTTTTGAAAATTCTGACCCATATCATTCAATGGTTTGCTTTCCATTGAAATGCTATTACATGAAAGAGCACCGGATGGATTTTTCTTGGAATTATTGGAAAGACATGATGATACATTTTCAGCAATAGATGATTGAATCAGGATTTTCTTCCTGTTAAAATATAATACATAAATAGAAATATCCCATATTACAGAATTTTTGACAATGATAAAATAAGATGTTATACATAAGACCCACGCCCCCCCCCCCGAACAAAAAAAAATCAGTTTTTTACTTTTGTGATTATTGCTACAGATAACAATCTCCGTAAGTTTTCAGTAACAATCTAAAATCTTATTTCAAAATGATGATAATAGAACAAACTGCAGTACATTAGTTTGTTTCATTCAATCTAATTTTGTCACACTGGAAAAGCAGTGACAGAGTGATCCAAATTTTACACTGCCATTCAATCACACATAACAAAAGGAATTATGTTTTAATTAGTAATATTTTTAGCTCTTTTTTAACTCCTTTTATTTCTAATTTCTAAATAAAACATCTCAATTAAAATAATTAAAGAATGTTTACATAATTTTCAAGAAAATGCTGATTTATTAGTCCAAAGGGTCTTTGTCCCTGAAGGACTATTGTTTTCGTTTTGCGATTTTGCGTTGAATCATTATAAATGCCCGTTTCACTTTTCAAACTGTTACCACCAAATGTTAAAGTCCTGCATTATATTTGAAGAAATTAAATAATGAAAAATCTGCATAAATGTATGTATATATCTCACATTGTGATAAAACAATGGTACATAGAGCCATCAAATTTTGCATGACGTAATCCTCCTACGAATATGGGCATGTGGAAGACCAAATTTGAAATTTGTCTTATTATCGATTCCATATTTTGTAAAAAAACTTTAACGAATTTTTGGTTAACAAACTCAAGGATTTCAAAGCGAGCAATGGCAACACCCTATGGGAGAAAAAAAGCCTTTTTATCTCCAATAACTATGCATTGGAACATAACTATGCGCGGAACTATGTATTGGAAATTCTAAAGACATCCTCATTTTAAAATTATTTTGTGACAATGCTATTGAACTGAATTTTATGGTTTAAGTGTAAAGAACATGATATTTAATAAGTAAAGGTAACACAGAAAACATTAAAAAAATGCCCCTTTGGACGTAATTTAAAATCTGAAACCTTTCAGCTTTTTTTTTTCTTTTTCTTTTTTTTTTCTAGTAATGAAATAGTGATTAAATTATATAATGAAGGAATGGAAAGAACAGAAACAAGGTATTTTACTTAGGTTTGGAATAAAAAATGTCTGTTTCTTAAGTTTTACTTATAGAGTTTCAAAAGTTGATATTTTTATGGATACTGCTAGAGTAAATTAACCGTTTGACTGCTACGTGGTGCAAAAGCGTTGCGTTCATTTGTCTTGAAAACCGCGACACAGTTAGTTATTTTAGAATGCACTCGTGTTACAAAGTACGCGTGAGATCAGACTACGTTCACACCCATGGAGCAACAAAGACACACTGAAACTCGCAGCGCTTTTCAAGACAAATGAGCGCAGTGCTTTTGCGACGCGTAGCAGTCAAATGGTTAAGATTACTTTTCATAGAATTTAGAAGGTACTTTCTGTTTCCTTCCAGCATGCCTTCATGGTTTAAATGGAAGCATACACAATGCATGTTCGAGAGGTCTGGGGTTTGAATCCTGGCAAGGTCACTGCACATTTTTCAAGTGTCATGCTTCAATGAAAACTTAATGAATCTAAAAATTTATCTGATATATTCATATATTAGCTTCAAGAGAAATTTACTTTTAGCTAAACTATAATGTTATGTACTGAGCAGTAAATCTTCATGATTTTTTGTTAAACACCTAATATCTTAAGCAAAATATATATTTACAAAAATAGATTTCACCATCAGACATCAACAAGATATGTGAAACTAGAGTTAAGAAATATCAATTATCAGAACAATGGTTTGAAATCTTCTAAATTATGATCGAGATACTAAGCAGTTATATTTAATCCATATCTAGATTTGGAGTTACATTCATAATTTTAGAATTATTTTTCTGTAGCAGATATATAGATTCAGCTAGGGTCATATCACTCTGAAGTACCTTGGAAGGCTCCAGTAATGATGAATTGACATCACTAGTTTTCCAAATATTAGAAGATGCTAAAATATGTTGCATAATTTAATTAATGGTTAACAAGTTCAAAAGAACAGCATTAAGTTTTGCTGATTGAAGTTTAAGCTCAAAATTTAATGATAAAATGCTTTGTTATGAAATACAGTAGAGAATACTGCCACCAGTCTGTCTCAGACAGAAGAGAACATTTAGGAGTGAGGCATGCGTGGTAATCATAAGCATCACTGAATCATCTGTGGAAAATGCTTTTTTGATCTGTTTAATTTCTGTTATACATCCTTTGAGTTATATTTGTACTGAACATGTGGCAAGGTATTACAACTTACCATGTGATATATATTTTTGTGCTTTCTTTTTCTGTTCGTAATTGTAGTTAAAAATTGAGAATAGTGTCTGAATGTCGTTATGGTGAAAGTAAAACCAAAGTAAAATTCAAAAGTGATTATGTTTATTCTATGCATGTGTATTTATTGACGAAGCTGAATCTTTCCAAATGATTTATCGAGCCGGAGTGGATATAAATTTTTAAAGAATGAGATGTGACTTTACTTTCTATTTTTGGATTGAAATGAAGGATTCACAAGGATACTTCCAGACTGAAGTTCTACAGAAACAGAAATGGTAAGTACCCTTAGTTGAAAATCATTATTTGTTTAATGACTTGCTAATTCAAAATGTCACTGAGAGAGGTTTCGGCGAAGAAACTCACATCAAAAACACAGTTAATGAAATTAAGGCAAAAAAATTATGGGCAAAAATGTCTAACAAAATGATTTAGAAATACTTACGAGTAAATTTAAAATGCTCAAACTAAAGATAAATTCTAATTTTGATTCTTGATTTGAGGTGGTACATACTAATGAAAATATTGATACTTACATAAAAGAGAAAGAAGAGATTAATGATTATCAGAATTTAGAATTTCTTAAAAGTAGAATTCTAATTAAATTGCAAACTAGACAGATTTACTAAGGAAAATAAATCACAGCCATATGGTTATAAAACTACTGAGAATGTTAAATTATGCAAATTACTTTGCCAACATTTTCGGGTATTTTCAAATCCTAATTTAACAGACGCAGCAAAATTACAGTACTTTGAGAGAAGGTACTTATTGCTTTATGCAGTCAATATCCATAGTTGACTCTAATTATAAATTAGCCTTCCCTTTAATTTATCCTGTTAATAGAAGAAAGGTTATCAAATCACCGCAAACAAGTACTATATGCTAATCTGAAACAATTTATAAAATATGAAGCTTATACAAAATGAATCTGCATCAGCGTTATTAACTTGATTGATATTACAAATGAGACTAGAGATGATCAGAAGTTTTAAACCAAGGTGACAGAGGGTTTTCTTCCAATGTATTTGCATACATTTTAGAGCAAAAATTATATTTAAACACCAAAACTGTTGGGAAAGAAAATTAGAAAAACAGAATTTGCTTACTTTAATTGATTTTATAGAATTTCTCAAAGATGATGCAAAAAGTCTCAATGCTTCAAAAAGTGTGATTAATATATATACAGTCAAAAGTCGTTAATTCGGACACCCATAATCCGGAATGATCTATAATCCGGACCTCAAAGCTTCAAACTTTCTGCGCATGCGTCGCGTTCACGCATGCGCACAGGCATTTACGAGAGCGCATAAGACCCTTACAGCTGCGAATATGTTTGTGCGCATGCGCGTTTAATGTGTAACAGAGTTATACACTAAGCTAAAGTTATCTAATTCAGTTAATGTTGCAGATTGCGTTGTTCCTTAATCTTCGAATTGGATCCGGCTTATTATTTTTTGCAGACTGTTAGAGCAATTTTATAAAAGTAAGCTTTAACTTTCGATTATGTCAAATAGAATTTCCGATATATATTTACTACAAAGCGAAAGTATGTTTTGAAATCCAAAATCTGTTTATCAATTTCACGCTGCTCTGCGGCAGAGGGGGGGGGGCAGAAACGTTATTTTTAGATTATGATAGATTAGAAAGATTATGTCAAATAGAATTTCCGATATATATTTACTAATATGTAATTTGTATCTACAAAGCGAAAGTATGTTTTGAAATCCGAAATATGTTTATCAATTTCACGCTGCGGATTGGAAGTTGATCTGTCAGCACTATCCTTATCTTCAGAGCAGATGTTTTTATTTTATTTGGTTTATAATTCCGTACTAAGTGTAGTATTTCATCTCGATATACTCCGTCTTTGATATGATTTAAATCAAGTTCCTCGTCATTATAATTCGCTTCCGATAGTGAAGAAAGTGACCCAGAGGTTATTGAAAACGAAAACATTTCGATTGACAAATTAGTCGGTATTCTCAACACAGCATTTATAGGACTTGAACAGCGGAACTTTGTAACTAAACAAGAAATTATGTCTGTTTAACAGAATTAAAGAGAAAGTATTATCACATGAAACGAAGCAACTTACATTGAAGGAAATGTTTAATAAAGTAAACAAATAAATATTAAGCTTTTTCTTTTTGTAAATTTTGATACCCTTTAGATCATAATTGTTCTTTCTGCATGCCATCTTACCAGATTTAAACTGATGATCTATAATCCGGAATCGCCGAAGTCCCGACGAGTCCGGATTAACAACTTTTGACTGTATATGTTGCCGGCAAAGTATGAAACTCGGACACTCTATAGAATGCTAGGCATTGTGTATAATGCCGGACGATTTTAGGCAAAGCATGAAATAAGAGTATTATTACATACTTTACCTAGGCATTGTATGTAATATCTAGGCATTCTATAGAATGACAAATGCTCTTTAGGCAAAGTATGAAAAAAGGTTATAATAAGGCTCTTAAGGATTTAGAAGACGTTCATTCCTCTAAAATACAAATGTTATTTTGAAAAATTAATGACAGTGCCATTAAAAAACTTTTTTGAAATATGTAAAAACAAGATAGTGAGATGATCTTGATACATTGTAATAAATTCGTATTTTCTAGCTGGCTGAGACTGGAAATCGGTAAGATCTACCCGACAACAGACGTTAAATTTAGAAACAATCATAAGTTTCACATCAGTGCCTTTTTTAATACCTTTTTGTTTTCTCTGGCAAGGCTCACAAAGGTGATTCTTACAGTTCAATATCATTACGTGTAACATTTTTGTAATTGGTTGAAAGTTCTTTCGACATTCTGTCACATCGTCCCTGTGCAGTACTCAATATGAGTTTTCATGAAATATGGAAAATAACTCAGCATCCATGATGCAATATTGCATAGTACTGACACTTCCTTTAACAGCATAAATGAATGTACTTTTGTTTTTGACAAACATCACAACCTAGCGATTCGGTGGCCAGTAGACCCGTGGTTCCTTCTTAGTAGTCATTTTGGTCTTTTTACATCATTTATTAACTTATTGGTTTTTCTGGCAACTTAGTTTCTCATGATAAAAATCCATATAAAAAATATTTTCTAGAAAGAAAAAGTGCATTTTTCAATTCTCCAATATATACAGATTTAAAAATATGCAATAATAATAATAATAATAATAATAATAATAATAATAATAATTTTGGAAGCAATTTCGGTCTATAAATTGAGCAGTCAGAGGGTTAACTCATGAGGTATCCATGTGGAATATTTATAGACCAAACTAGTTCCCTACAACAAACCTAGTTTTGTCACCCAGATTGTGGATTATCATTAAGATTGAAATCACCTGCTTCAAATTTTTCAAATCATCCGCTTCACATTCTATCCGAAACTGCATCTCTATAAAAAACTGTCACTAAATTTTGACCCACTTCTATAGCATTTCTTCCTTGTTGGAAGTTGTAGAAAATACAATGTCATAAATGAGCTTTACCAGTAGCCATGCTTACATGATTGCTTTTCACTAAATAATGACATTAGACATTTTCATTTCAGTTAATTTAGAAGAGCAGATATTTATAAATGCAGTAATAAAGAGAGACAGCCATACAAAGGGTTTGTACACATTTCTGCACATGGAAATTAAGTACTTTTAAGGACTTTAAAGGACAATTAATGAAAAAAATTAACGACCCATTAACAAATGGGAACTGAATAAATTCAATTAAAGATATTAGCTATGCCTGAACTTCACTTAAGTGATGCCAACCTAAGAATAAAATAGATCCACAAGTAGAATGCATTATTATTAAACATAATTTAATAAACATAATTATAAAACAAATTCGTGAATAAAATCAACTTTTAATTTATCAGGTAGCATAAAATATTTTACCCTTACATTAATTGGACATATTTGAAAGAAGATTAACAACATTTTACTTACATTTTACTAATTTAGCTTTAGGTGGCTATTTTCTTTTATGTCTCATTTTGTTACTTACTTGCACAGTTCCAGAGTTTAGTAAATAGCAAGTAGATTTTATGCCAAGCAGCATAGGTTAAAATAACAAGCAAAATCATAATCAGCATGATTCATTACAGAAGACTGGCTGTTGTCACCGCTACTACTTGCCTAAAGAGAGGCCTGTTGACAGAACAAACCTGAAAGCCTTATGTAGGTAGGCACTCTTGGCAAGGTTTGAAAGTTAGTTGTGCTCTGGCCTATCTGACGCAGTTTGTGTCATAACTTCGCGTTCCTGGGGTTGTAACCCAGTTACTATAGTTTAAGGTTCCAATAAGCCACTAAAGCACCAGAGATGATAAGCTGTTTTGTATTAATTTAAGTCTCATTAGATGCAAAGAATAAAGTTTCATGTTAATTTTTACATTTTTGTTCTGGATCTTGTGACCACAGTAAAGATTAATGAAAGGCAATTACTCACTTTAATATGCACAGATAACTTTTAAGGGTGACCAGCTAGTTACAAATAATTAAATTAGCTAGTTAGATAAGAGTACTTAGTTATTTTAGATTTACATAGCTACTATTAAATTTATTTATAAAAAATATTTGCTAAAAAGGCACTATTAAAATCACAATCGATTAACATGTCACAGCTTAAAATACATGTTATTTACAACATTGATTCTTAAATGATATTAATTGATTAAAAGCTACAAAACATTTACATTTTGTAGCAACAGTACTCAGCAAAATATTTGCGATCTTTTTAATTTGAAGCCATGCAAAACATTCTGGCTATTACATGAATTTTCTTCTCTTTAAGCATCTTTTCTAACTACAAGAAATTTGTTTCAATATGCAAAGCAATATTCTTACTAGTTTCTGCGTGTTTTATCTCCTAACTTGCAATTTCTCGACAAAGTACCTACGAGGTTTTACTCGTAGGTACAACGAGTGGTAACATTTACGAGTGGTAAATGTTAATTAGTCCAAAACCCCAGATAGACATCGAGCAAATTATTGCTATGTCTAAAGGTAACTACAAAGTCGAATAAAGGTTTAAAAAAAAGTTACCTTTTTTTTAAAAAGACCTTAGAACATAAAGACATGTTCTTATGCTAGCAAAATCAACTATAGTTTATGGTGATCTAATTAAACAGTAACAGTCAAATTCAAACTAAAAATGTGGACTAGCAGTCAAAGACCAGACAATTTAATTTTAATCTAAGCTGGTTCAGTTAAAGGCTTTAACAAATTCGTAAGTCGTTGTAACCTAGTTAGCGCATAACAAATTCAAATATTGGTAAAAAACACAAAGATGAATAATTACAAATATTCGGAGCTAGTATGAACTAATGCAGGGTGCAAGTGATGGCCAGAAACAAATTCTGTCTTACAACTGCAAAACCTGAGTTTAAAATCTATCTAGGTGATTTTCATTCTAGTGAGGAAACAGAAAGGGAAAATTATAGCAAAGGCTAAAATTATAAATAACTACTTAATTTACATAATAATTCTTCTACATATCTTTGAAAAATAATTTTCTTTCTCTTTATGTAATCGGTTTCTGTTTTCAATATGTTTCCTCTTCATTTTAGAATTTTTGGACTTAATTAAAGATTTCTGTTATTCTAAAAAAATAAATGCATATAGATTTTATAGGAAAAGTTTCTTTAGTAATGTGAACATTCAGAATAAATATAAAATGATATACGATAAGGGCCGGTTACAGAGACGATGTTGCAGAATATTTAGAACTTAGTGACACACTGAGCAACAAAAATCAAGAAAAGGCAAAATTTTAGAATTTAGGATCCACAGAGATTGCTTAAGGTAGGAAAATGTGTAGCGCCAGCCCTGTGTGTGATGCAAAAGCTGTAGCTAGGGTTTTCAGTGCCTGGCGACAACTGAAGATTTTGTGCCACCTCCTGTATGCCAAAAATGAAAACATTTAATTATAAAATTTTGTAACATCAGTTTGGTATCCCATGGATGCTGTGCCCGGAGACAAATGTCCCCCCTTGCCCCACCCTAGCTACACCCCCGACGATGCATTGAGACATATAAGATTAATCTTTTAAATTGTCAGTTTTCAATTTCTTTATTAACAGAAAAATTTCCTTTCTATAAATGCCTGTCCATGTGATGAGAATAGAAGCATTTTTGATATTCTGCATGCTTGTGTCTGGTGCAAAGTAGAGAAAATAATAAGAAGATAAATCATATTAAGAACAAGACTTCTAGAATCATAAGTAAAACAATTAAATATTATGTTTTCATTGTTTTTCAGAAAATTCTGCAAAAAGTAAAAGTTCATCACAAAATTTCTGTAAAATACATCCATTACGTGTTAATACCATGAAGACATTTGTCTGGAATCGTCTAGATTTGTGTGTCTATAAATCTCGCCTTAAAATCCTTCTAAACTTTGTAAGTTGCAGTGTCTAAAGTCCTAAAGAAAAATTACACCTACCAATTCTGCAACAATAAAAAGGCTGAAATATTTTTAAAAGAAGCAGAGAAAAAGGATAAAATTAATTTTATAGAGAAAACTGACGCATATTGAGATAACTATTGTGCTAAAGCGGAAAGCAGTTGCTACCTTGTTTATTTATCAGATTCAAAATATTGTATAATAAGTCACCAAAATTGAAATTAATGTCCCTTATGACAGTGAAAAATAAAAATGTTTAATTTTAATGTTATTTCTCGAATACAATTTCAATATATTAGCATTATTTTAATGAAACTGATCAATATTATATCGTCGCAAAATTCACAGAGTTCCGAATTAAAAGTTTTCTACACGAACTGATCTTAAAATTGCCAAAATGTTGATAAGTTGCCAAATTTGGAACCATTTAATAAAGAATTCACATTTCTAAACACGAAAAATTGTTTAAGAGCTCGTCATTAGAAAAAATGAAATAATTTTGAAATGCTTATGTTTCACTTCTTACTCAGAAACTTGAGTATCTCACTGTTTATATTAGAAATAGTAACAGATTATAACCCATGAAGCTATTCACACACTTAAAAGATATCTATATTTGTCAATGACTCCCCAAAAATATTTGTTCAAAATGCTAATTCACATTCAAAATGGCAGTCGTAAAAACAGACAGAAATTTCAGATGATTAAAATTAAGGACCTCCAGCCGAATTTGGCGGAAACTAAGGACTTTTAAGGGCCCAAAATTGAATAAAAAAAACTTAAGAACCATACGAACCCTGAAACATGTCTCAAATGAACACTTGCATGCATGTTAAAACGTGAAATAATATTATCGGACAAAACATTTTGGTAGACCTTATATTTTATGCATTCTGAAAATTCTAAAACAGAAATGTTGAAATATGATACAGAAATTATCATTTAATATAAGAAATAAATGAAATATTTAATTTTCTTTGAAATGATTTAACGAAACTGATTTCGTACGTTATCAGCTTACCTGATATTCACCAAACATCTAAGGTCCTTGTTCTGCATTAAAATCTCATCCTGATTCTGAATTAAATCACATATCTTTGTCATAATTTTAATATTCATTTCCTTCAAAGATGAGAGAACAGAATGTGCAGTTTCAAAGTCTAAATCCTTTATTATATTAAAAAAATGAAGTTATACATGTGTGCAAATACACATACAGATATATATATATATACACACACATACACATACAGATATATACATATATATACAATACAAAGTCTTTAATCCAGATGTCCATAATCCAGAATGATCTATAATTCGGACCTCAAAGCTAAAAACTTTTCTGCGCATGTGTAGCGTTTATGCATATATGTTTATGCATGCGCATAATACGTTAATGCATATGCATTTAATGTATAACGGTTGTATAAGCTAGGCTAAAATTATCTATTTCAGTTAATGTTGCAAATTGCATTGTTCCTTAATCTGGTGCTATTTTGGTAGATGGTTGCATGGATTTTGGCGATTTTTTTTTGGCGAGCGATACGACTTATGGTAAACCCATTGCTGGACAAGTTATTTATGGCAACCGATACTTTGTTGTCATTTTGTTTAAAAACCAATGCATTTTATTATGCATAAATTCAGTGTTTTAACTATTATTTATGGCTTTTAAATATTAAAAATCAATTTAATTTTGCATTTTTATTTGAAATAAAAATTTTGTTGTTTATGATATTTTATGAAATTTTTATGTTGTGGATGATGTAATCAATGACGTTACCTTACTTTAAAAGTAATTGGTTTTAATATCTATAAATTTAATCTGTTTTAAACATTATTTATGGCTGTTAAATATTAAAATATAATTTAATTTTGCATTTTTTAAAATAATTTTATTATGTATGATTATTTAAATAATTTTAATTCTAGGCGTGATGTAATCAGCTCTCTGATTGGTTATAGAATATTTGTGCATTAACGAGCTGTAATCAGCTCCCTGATTGATTACTGAAAATTTGTGCATTACCACGCCATTTTCAAATTTAATTCATATCTTCGAATTCCTACAAAAATGTCTCTTTCAAAGATGAATGTTGTTATTGGTAAGCTTCAAGAATTATTGGTATTGGAATCAAAAAATTGTCCTTTGAGACCTTATTTTGGCCAGCCTGACTTTCGAAATCAAAGATTTATTTATAAATTGTTACAAGGGTCAGAGGAAATTAATTTTACATTTTTGGAGGAAACCTCGCTAATTGCTTCTTCAATGAAGTGCGAAAATGTAGATCACAGATGAAGATTGTTAGAAGAGCCAATTCTGAGGTCGGTCGTATATGGTATTGTGGTCATGTTGGAAGAAATAATCGCTGTAACGATAAGAAAAGTATTAGACATTCCTCCTTTTTTACCGACAATAAACTAATTGCTGTCATTTTAGCTCTAGTGTACGAAGCGTTCTTATTTACTTATTTTAAAGTATTTAATTTAAGTAATATTTTAATTCTTTTAAACATTGGTATGATGGTTTTTAATTCGATATTCAATTGACGTAATATTTTAATCCAATTAAACATTGGCGCAATGTTTTTATAGCGGTATTTTTATTCTATTTCTGTGCTATATGAAAGTAATGATTTAACTTTTCTTTAGTATTTTATACTCATAATAAATGTATTTATTTACATTTGCCTGCCATCTTAAAAAGCAACGGTTTGAACAAAAAATTAATCCATTATTTTTAACAATATTTATTTTTTTAAAGTTTCGAATACTTCACTTTGTGCAAAATAGCGTAAAAACAGTGTTTTTCAAGATGGCTGATGATTGTAAAAAGCGCGCCAACAATTGCGCCAAAGTAAATCACCAAAAATCCGTGCAACCGTCTACCAAAGTAGCACCCTTAATCCTCTAATTGGATCAGGCTTCTTATTTTTTGCAGACTGTTAGAGCAATTTTATAAAAATTAAGCTTGAACTTTCGATTATGCCAAAAAGAGTTTCCGATTCTCGAGCTGCCAAAGGATCTACAAAGCGAAAGCATGTTTTGATGTCCATTAAACAAAAAATTTAATTGCTGAAAAAAATGGATAAAGGCATGAAGAAAGTGACAGAGAGGTTAGTGAAAATGAAAAAAATTTCGATTGACAAGTTAGTCGGTATTCTCGGTACAGCAATTACAGGACTTGAACAGCGAAACTTTGTAACTGAACAAGAAATTATGTCTGTTTATAGAATTAAAGAGAAAGAATTAGCACATAAAATGAAGCAACTTAAACAACTTACACTGAAAGAAATGTATAATAAAGTAAACAAATAATTATTAAGCTTTTTTTTTTTTTGTAAATTTTGATATCCTTTAGATCATAATTGCTCTTTATTTCCAAAATTACGGTTTCATATTTTTAATTTCATAATTTCTGCATGCCATCTTAAGAGATTTAAATTGATAATCTGTAATCCAGAAAAACCCCTAATCCGGAATCGCAGAAGTCTCAACGAGTCTGGATTAAAGACTTTGTACTGTACACACATACACGTACAGATATACATATATATATATACAGACATACACATAATGATATACCTGCACACACATGGAAGAGCCAAAATATTATGACTACTTACTCAATAACGCGTTGCACGACCTCTGGCCTGCAAAACAGCTGCAACTCGTTTTGGCTTGAATGCCACAAGTTCTTGATAAATGACAGGAGACAGGTTGTACTAAATACTAAGCAGCGGTCATGCAAAGTCGAGATATTTTGACATGGTGGTGTTTGAGCTTTGAGCTGCTGCTCCATGTGTGGTCTATCGGGTTAAGAATCCAGCAAATTAGGTGGCCAGGACATTAATTGGAATTCATCCTCATGCTCCTCAAACCACTGCTATATAATTCATGCCTTGTGACATGGAGCATTCTCCTGCTGGAAGATTCCATTTCCAGCTAGGAAGACAGGTGTGGGTGCAACTGATCCACATTTATATTTGGATAGTCCGAAACTTTCATGGTCTGTTCTACCATAACTAAGGGGGCCAAAGCTCCCCATGAGAAAGTTCCCAAAAGCATAATACCACCACCACGAGCCTGTGCAAAACTGTTGTACAGGGGGGAGCAACTGTGCACCTTAAGGACCACCACTTCACGACTATCAATGTGATGAATGTGAAATCATGATTCATCGAACCAGGCAGTTTTCTTACACTTATCCATGATGCAGTCTAAATGTTCCTGTGTCCACTGTAGGCATAGTTGACAATGACACTTAGTCAACAGAGGCACATGAGTGGGATGTCTGCTGCACAGTCCCATATCCAAAAGTATCTGATGACCTGTGTATTTCAAAACACTCACAAGTGGACCTGCATTTTATTAAGCTGTCAGCTGAACCCCTGTCTGGCACCAATTTTGCTATACCAGGCAAAACAGTCTCCAACATCCTTTTTCTTTGATGACGCATGGATGTCCAACAGCTTGCCACCTGTTTCTGTTTCATCATCAGATGAAACAGAAGATGATGTTTCATCATCATTTATCCACACTGCATAAATACTAACAGCAGATCCTAAAAAACCTACCAGTCGTGCAGTTCTGGAGATACTTATTCCGAGTCTTTAGGTGTGAGTGTGTATGTGTGTATATATATATTTATATATATATATGTGAGTGTGTGTGTGAGTATATATATATTTTTATATATATATGCATACACATATACGAGGAAAAAATATAAATATGTATGAAGACAGAATAAAAGGAAAAAGTTTATTTTAAGTAATAATACTATTTTTTATAATAATAATAATAATTTGAACAGAATGCCTGAACAATTCATTACCAGAAAACTTAAAAGGTAGTAAAAACAGATTTATGCATAAAGTAATAAACTGTGTGTCCCCATAGTACAGCTAAGGGAATACATTAAGAAGTCCCTATAAAGAAGCCAATAAAATGCAAAGAGTTAAATAAGGGGGTTGTAAATTAAATAGTGGCAACTTAACCTTGAAACTTGCAGAAGGGTGGGCATGCGCAAATAGGATATGGGAGCGGTGAGGTGGCGCTGTTGTCAATGTGTAGAGTGCAAAAAAACAGTTGATCTGCTTAGAAGGATAGTTGTTGTGTTTCGTTTCCATCGCTCTAAAGCATGTTTTCAAGAGGTGACCAGCAGTCATGGCTTAAAATCGAGGTTGCCCATGGCAAAAATGCAACAGAATGCTATCGAGGATTAGTGGAAGCCTGTGGCACAAGTGCTTTACCATATAGGAGAGTAGCACGATGGGTTCAAGCATTTCGTTCGGGTCGGAATGAGACTGTCTGAGAATGAGGATTTGCAATGCACAGGTTGGCCCTCCATTATTCAAGAGCAGATTGACATCCTGAGCGGTCCCCTTGTAGAGTCATTACGTTAATTGGAAGCAGGAAAGATAAAAAATATGCAACCGCCTTCGCCGGGAATTGAACCACAGACGTCTGAAATACCGGCTCAGTGTGCTGACCACTACACCACGAATGCACGCTAGGGAAGTGGGAGAAATACCTTATATTCTTACCATAGACCGCCGATGGACCGTCTGAGAGTTATCCTTAGAGGTTGGTATGAGGTGCTGCTGCTGCATCAAATGGTGTGGCGCATAATAAAGAAATCTCTCAACATGAGGAAAATTGCTTCCCGCTGGGTTCCACATCAAGGAACTGAAGTACAGAAATGGCACCAGTATGCACTGGCTGGCACCCACTTGGAGAGATACCGCAATGAAGGAGACACATTTCTGCAGTGTATTGTCGCCATTGATGAGACATGGGCACGAGCCTATGAGCCTGAATTAAAGCATCAATCAAATGAATGGCATCACCAAGGTTTGCCACGTCCACAGAAATTTCAATAGGAACCCAGTCGAGTGAAAGTTATGCTAATTATGGCATTCAACTGGGACGGTGCGATTCTTACACATGCTGTACCCAAAGGACAAACTGTCAACACAGAGTACTATTGCCAATTTCTACAGCACCATCTGTGTCCGGCTATGCGGCGCAAACGTCCACATTTATTACACAACAATCTCCCTGTTGTATTGCATGACAATGCTCGTTGCCATGTCGCACACAATGTCACTCTCCTTTTGCAACGGTGGCAGCGGGAGATCCTGGAACACCCTCCCTACTCACCCGACATGAGTTCTTGTGACTTCGATCTGTTGCTGGAAGTTGAAGGAACCCTTCCGAGGTCACCGATTTCATGACGTTTCATCTGTACTTCACGCAGTAGGGCGCTCGGTCGCTCACATGAACAATTAACACCTTGCCACTGGTCTACAACGACATTTGGAAAACAAGTTATAAGCTTTGCTGGTGTGGACATCCCGACATTTGGAAAACAAGTTATAAGCTTTGCTGGTGATTACATAGAAGGAATGTAATGCAACTGTACTTGTAAGTCCATTAAAAATTGATTTATACCTATGTTGCCACTGCTTAATTTACAGTCCTCATAGATCAATTTATTCAGGTCACTTAAAAGGATGCAAAGACAATAACAACAAAGCGATGACCTTGCCTTATTTTCTCTCAGAAGATCTTGGCATTCACGTTTTTCAACATCAGACAGAGTTTGTGTGTTAACTGAAATTTCTTCACTGGACGCCTAAAATTGTGATAAGGCCAAATTATAAAAATGAAAGATTCTTTTCAATCAATCAGTTCAAGATCAAGATCTAAATTTTAACATAAAACACTTCTCAGGCTACTATTACTTTTAAAAACTAGATGAAGTAAAAGGACTTGAAATACATACCTTAGAAACTTTTTCTCCATTAGAAGTGGATAAATTAACTTTATCTTCAATAATAGCTGAAAAACAAAACAAAGTCCTTGAAAATAATTCAGTATTAATTTTCCTGTCATGTATTTAAACAAATAGCATGTTTTAAATAATTTGAAAAATCTCTTCAAGAATCACTTTGCATGTCAAAATAATTTTCAAGGAAAATAATATTTATCATTGTTAAAAATACATTTTAATGATCACAAGTTTGAATTACAGTCAGATACCGAAAATCTGCTGAGCTGAAATCCACGTTGCTTCTCAGAATACAGTCAAAAGTCGTTAATTCGGACACCCATAATTCGGAATGATCTATAATCCGGACCTCAAAACTAAAAACTTTCTGCGCATGCGCATAGGCGTTTACGCGTGCGCGTAAGACCTTTTACGACTGCGTATATGAGTGTGCGCAAGTGCAGAATACGTTTTCGCGTGCACGTTTTATGTATAATGGACGTATAAGCTAAAATTATCTAATTATCTATTTCAGTTAATGTTGATGATTGCATTATTCCTTAATTTTTGAATTGGATCCGGCTTATTATTTTTTGCAGACTGTAAGAGCAATTTTATAAAAGTAAGCTTAAACTTTCGATTATATCAAATAGAATTTCTGATATATATTTGTTAATATGTAAAGGATCTAAAGCGAAAGTATGTTTTGAAATCCTAAATCTGTTTATCAATTTCACGCTGCTCGGCGGGGGGAACGCCGCGGCGGGCGCGTAATGAATTGGAAGTTGATCTGTCAGCACTATCCTTATCATCAGGGCAGATGTTTTTATTTTATTTGGCTTATAATTCCTTACCAAATTAGTATTTTATCTCGATGTGCTCCGTCTTTGATATGATTTAAAACAAGTTCCTCGTCATTATAATTCGCTTCTGATAGCGAAGAAAGTGAAAGAGGTTAGTGAAAACAAAAAAGTTTCGATTGACAAATTAGTCGGTGTTCTCGACACAGCAATTATAGGACTTGAACAGCGGAACTTTGTAGCTGACTTTATTGCTACTATGTCTGTTTATGTGAATTATGTCTGTTTAATAGAATTAAAGAGAAAGTATTATCACATGAAACGAAGCAAAACTTAAACAACTTACATTGAAAGAAATGTTGAATAAAGTAAACAAATAAATATTAAGCTTTTTCTTTTTGCAAATTTTGATACCCTTTAGATCATAATTGTTCTTTATTTCATAAATTATGGTTTCATATTTTTAATTTTAGAATTTCTGCATGCCATCTTACAAGATTTACTGATGATCTATAATCCGGAAAAATCGATAATCCGGAATCGGCGAAGTCCCGACGAGTCCGGATTAACGACTTTTGACTGTATAAACATTTAGTTTATAGGTTCCGGAAACTGCAACATGGAGTACGAAATATCGAAGAAAAAATACTTACTGGATAATGACATCATAATTACCAAATAATAATGAGTCATAATGGGAATACCAAATTATTGACATCATGATAAGAGTTTTTCTTCTTCCAATCTGCATCGAGGTAAAAAAGCAGACGATTAACTCAACTCTTCTTTCAAGTTCACTCTTCACGTTGTTTTACTTTCTGAGCTTTGTTATTTCACGAGATTGTTTAGTGATGTCGTTTTTTTTTTCTTTTTATCCGGATATTTTGTGGATAAATTAAGAAAATTTAAAATTTCAGAACTTTTAATACAATGACAGATAAGAAATGCACTCGCGATTTTACTGCTTGCAGTGTTGAAAAACATAAACACGTTGCATTGATGGTAATGAAAAAAGTGGAAATTCTGATATAGATGGAGGCAGGTGCTACTGCTCGGTTTATAGCAGAATCGTATGGAATTGCCATACGGACCGTGTATGACATACAGAACAGTAAAGAAAAGCTGTTGAAATTTTACAGCAACAGCGATTCTAACACCGGAATCCAAAACCGAAATCTTTACATGAAGCGAAATGGTAAACCTCGATGCTGTCTTGTACGAGTGGTTCCGGCAGCGGCGGAGTGATGGGGCACCTATTTTAGGACTACTCCTGAGAGAAAAGGGGAAGCAGATTCATGCTGATTTAAAAATAGAGGAGCCTAATGTAAATGAACAATATAATATAATCAGTTTATATATGTAATAATAATTTAATGCATACAATTAATTATTGTATTAATGTATATAATATCTTAATTAAATGTATCTAATATGCCTTATTTATTTTGCACTTTTAGTCTGAATATTATCTTTTTCTGTCCTGAAATCCGCAAAATCCTAAAATCCCCACAATCTCTGGACTTCTACTGTATTGTAAAAAATATAACAACTACTTAGAATTATTTTAAAAGCAGCATGTTGGTCAAAAGCAGTAAATTATCAAAGAATTCAGTAAAAGTTTCAAATAACATAAATAAAAAAAAAATTTACATTCTGAAATATCACTTTCATCATCACTTAAAATTCTACTTTTGCACTTGGCAGTGCCCCTCACTATTTCTTCATCAGAAAAATCATCATTTAAGAGATTGTTAGTTTCAACATCATCGGGTGATGGTAATTCTAAAGACTTCTCTTGAAAATCAGGTCCTGTGAAAGACAAAGTAACAAATCTAATAATAACTTCATACATATGGATTTCTTTAAATTTAATAAAAATCATGTCATTTTAAAAATGATATGATTTAAAATGTTATGTTCATCAATGTATGTTTATAGAAATGTATATTTATAGAAATGTATCAATGTATGTTTATAGAAATGTATATTTATATCAATGTATATTTATAGAAAAGTATCAACACATTTTTAATGACCCAAGATACATTTAAATACTCATTATTTTAATCAACATCCTCTACATCACAGTTTTAAAAACATTTCACAAGCGAAATGTATTTGGCTCCTGAGTAACATGAAGCATAAGATGCCCGTCCTGAATGGTTTCAAAAAGTCTATATAAAACTTTGATTCTCCAAATACTTAACTTCAGATAACCTATATTTGATCTGAAACCTTATTAATAACATACATATAGATTATTAATAACAGATTTTATACATTGTATACATTAGTTATTGTATTCTCATAATAAAATAAAATGGAGATCACAATTATATGAAGTCATTGTCAATGCCTAAATTTATATACTCTGCTTGCAAGATAAATGTTTATACCTACATTAGTATTACATAATGTAATACAAAAATACTGCTATTTCTGACACCAGACAAAAACTCAGAAAAGTCTTCATATTAGATTCATATATATTTCATAGTAGTATGTAATGAAACACACTTAACAGTTTTCTTAACAGAAATCTTTACTCTTTCTCAATTTAAACCAGTTCCATTTATTATTATTATTTATTGATAATTAATCTGTTTCTTACTGACTAAAGTAATTTTTGAGAAAATAAAATTTTTTGCTTATTATGTCTTTTTATAACTAGTTTAGGTTTTGCATAAATTTTAATTACTTAAGCAACTGCTTTTTTAGTCATCTGGACAATTTTCACACAAAAAAGAAGTGATAATAAAATGACAGTTTAGGAATTAAAATGAAAAAAAAAAAAAAAAAAAAAAAAAAAATAAGAGAAAGATTTTTATATCCTATTACACTCATACTTGATACTTTGAAATATTAATAAGAACTTAAATAATTATTTTTACACAACGCATAAATTTATATTAAATTCTTCTGATTTAGTAAATAGAATATTTTTGAAATATTACAAAACATGCATCTTGAAAGAAACTTTTGCATTCAGTACACAAATGAATAATGAATTAGCTTCTGCATGCTCAACATCAAAGTCTTTTACTATTTGTAAAATGTCTATAACATTCTTGTGGAAGAAGTAATGCTGATATTTTGCTGGGTTATCAGTGATATACACTTTTTTCTAGTATTGTTTGAAGAAGAGTTATCAGAATGATTCATCAAAACTTCACAATATAAATATTTCCTGATCTGTATTAATTAATATCAAAAGCTTCCATACTTATAATTTAACGTAACATCTACATAATCAACAAATGTCCAATACGACAGTGAATCAATATACACTAAAATACCAATTAGACAAACTTTGCTCATATAACAATTAATTTTTATTACATCAGACTACATTACTAAAATAGTTTATCATTTTGATTTTGTATAACAAATGTTAGAAATTATTAGGTTATTTGCACATGGCAAAGCACTAGGGAAAGGATGCTTTTGTGGAAGACTTTTTAAGGGAAACTAGATTGTATTCACTATACACATGGAGAAAACCATAAAACCAACCACGCACCCAGCCCATTTGCCTGACTTTGAAACCAAATTTAACTATCAGTATTCAAAAGTGTTAATTCCTCGAGTATTGGTGGCACCATTGTTTGAAGAGTTATCAGAATGATTCATCAAAACTTCACAATAAGCAAAATCTTTCTAAATGCTGAAGATGAAGTAAGGTCAAACTTGAATTACATAAGGATTAAAGAAGCCAGCTTACAATTTTGTTTGCTCTCCAATATTAGACTGTTATTGCCTTGAAGTTTTATTGGCAGCATAAGCAGTAGATTAACACATTTCTACATGCTACAAAAATTTCATGGCATTTTATAAAAGGCTAGAATTTTTGTTTACATGAGAAAAATATACACTGATTAAAAAACAGAACAAATATCATTACTTTATAGTAACACGGTAAATGCAAGTTATACAGGTGTTAGTATAAAAATTATATTTAAATTAATGAATTTAATCTTAGGTTATATGCTTATGAATCACGATGGTCATCATAAAAGTCGTATGACATGTAGGAACACATTTAAATCCACAATATAATACTGCAACATTTAAAAAATTTCCAATTATTTCAAACCATTTAATATATATAATATATATTTTTTAATTCTCTGCACTTGACAGCAATGCCAACATAACTAATAATACTTTCCTAAGAAATTTATTTTCATTTATAAACCTTAAATTTGTAATTTTCAGATTTCTACTAAATACGATGAAAAGAATAAAAACTATACGAAATCAGATCATACAACAGTGTTTAATTTGTAAGACTGATAAACGGTTAATGCTTTTTGAGCTGATATTCACACCTGAAATTACCACAATGATAGTTACAGAAGATAAGTATTATGATGAATTTTGTAACAAGAGCATAATTTATCTACTACAATTAATGTTACACAGATCTTGTATGATTATATAAACATATATATATCCAACTTTTTAAAAGTTTTTTCAACTTTATCAGCTACATGGTTTGTATGCCGGTAGCATACAAAAATAAAAACTGTTGCCACCACCAAAAAATAAAAACTGTTCTAAATTTTAAAAAAATTTTAAGATATTTTTTGAAAAAATTCTGTACATATGTAAAACAATGCACTTGAAACCTGTGTGCTTCACGGTAATTCAGACCTGTGTGCTGTACTCACTGTCATTCCATTGGTATTAACTTTTTATTGGATTAATAATCATAACAGTCATCATATATGATATATGTAATGATAGCACATATTTGAATAGTCGATAATACCTAACTTTCAGAATGCTGAATTTGCAGACATACTATTTTACAGAAATTCAACTGAGGAATAAATGTTCCATTGAGGTTAGTAGCACATAATCCAATCCTGTCAGGCTAAAAATGTAATAAAAGCACAAATTCGGAAGCACTGAAATAAGAAGACTGAGATGTAGAAGAAGCTTAGCAAAGTTGTTTAGCGTAGATACTTGATGCTTAAAGCATCCAGCCATTTTGAAAAAGAAGCAGTCAAGTCAGATTAAATTCCATATTTATTTAAATTCACATATGTGGCCACAATTCACTTGGCACTCCAGTCATGCCTATTTCGAGAACATTTTTTATACTATGGCAATGGAAGCAAACATGGATGATAGCAGAAGCGTTTTGACAGGATGAAAGCATAATCGAGAAGATAAAGAGAGTGTCACAGTAATAATGCAGAGGAAGAAGGGAAGGATTCATAACATTTCAGTTCGAGTGAGTTCTGGTTTACAATTATTTTGATAGGGCAAGAGGTATCTGCATTAAGCGTTAAGATGGCATGATTAATCTGAATGACACAGTTTAGAATTATGGCACTATTTCTAACACAGAGAGAGAGTCTACAAATTAAATGAAAAATAAAACAGGTTATAGCCAATTAGAAGTTTGCTTCATATTTTTTATATTACACATTCCCCCCGTTTCAAAAAAAAAAAAAAAAAAAAAAAAAAAAAAATGGAGCGATAGAGAAGCCTTTTTGAGAAAAAGCATTAGAGCAGCAAAATATGAGAAATATAATTTTGAAAATACAAAATATAAAATGAACTTTTGAATAATTAAAATTTTTCATAAAATTTTGAATTCATTAATAATTTTAAGCACTGTTGCACATTTTTAGAGTCCTTATAAAGATTTGCCTCCAATTTGTAAAAAGTTCTTGTTTCTGGAATATTCACATCACAATTGTGAGACTTCAGGGAAGGATTTCCAAAAAATTTTATGCACAATATCACAATTATAATTATTTTATATACACATTAATTATTACGAATAATCATAAATCTTAAAATTATACACCATACCAATTTTCGTATTTATAAGTAAACTTCATCATTTATAATAAGCATTATTGAAATTGTGATTTTTACTTTTATGACTACATTTTACAATTTTCTTCTTTTACACAAACTGAAAGACCCCACAGCTTTTTCCTAGTACACAGATATCCAGCTATTTGAGCAGTTACTTGGAAAGGCATCCGTTCCTTATGTAAGGAATTGCCCTTGTGAACTGCGTAACAACATTCCATTATATTTTTTAGAAAATCTCACCCCATTATGAAAAAATAAAAATGCTATATAAAAAATTAAATAAAGTGGGAACCTTCAGAGTTAATATTATATGAGGAGGGTAAACAGAATAATTATGCAGAGGTAAAACAGGCCTCTGTTTCTGAACCAGTACTTCTTCAATATACGTTATATCTAACCTACAATTATTGATAATTATAATATTCATTTACCATACTTCCAACAAATTTTAATACATTTTACTCTTAATTAAATTCTCATACAAATTTGATTGTGATTATTCAATTTCTTAAATCTTTGGTATTTGTATATTAATTTTAACAATATTTAATATTCTCTCATTTAATAATTATTTCATTTTTATCTCATATACACATCATTCTCAAAATAATTAAAGAATTCTTAAAATTCAAATTTTTAAACAATAATCTTATTTACAAAATAATTCCAAGATTCTTAACATTAACTCCAAGTTCTTGACAAAACTTATAATTACTAATAACACAATTAATAATAAAAAAATTTAATAACGTTCCCTGAATTAAGTCTTAGAATACTTATACATTTTAATTTGATATTTTGATAACATTATGAAATTAGTACCACATAGTGCCACATGCATTTCAGATTTCAAAATATAACCAATTATTGAGTAAGTTATCCACAATGATGCAGTCGGAAAGAAAAAAAAAAATTTTTTTAGCCCGATTAAAATATATTTTTTCAGTATCGTCACCAAATTTGTTCGATGGAAACAACAACAAGAGCTTTTAATCTGGAACCGAAGAAATAAATCACATTTCAATAGCATTTTTGATTATGCAGTGAAATCAGTTTCATACTTGTTGAAAAAACACATTGCTATAAAGCTGTTAAAAACAAATTTTCGCTCACCATAGTTCGAAGTTACAGTGACCTTGGTTTGATTTGGAATTTGGGTAGTGATGAAAACTTTATTTTATCCATTAGTTAAACGATAGATTAATTGAATAAACTTTGCATTAGGAGTTCCACGCACTTGAGATATGCATGTCAGTTCGAAAACGACTCCGCCATAAAATGTGACGATAGCACAAATTTGCACTGATGTAAGAACACTGAGATGAAGAAGTGTAGCATTGTTGTTTAGCGTAGATACTTGATGCTTAGAGAAGAGAATTGGATTAAATTCCATATTTATTTAAATTCACATATGTAGCCACAATTTATTTGGCATTCCAATCATGCCTATTTCGAGAATATTTTTGATATTTGGCTATGGAAGCGAACATAGATGATAGGAGAAGTGTTTCAACGGAATGAAAGTGAGAAGAAAGAGAGTGTTGCAATAGTAATGCAGAAGAAGGGAGAGAATCATAACATTTCATTTTGAGTTAGCTCTGGTTTGCAATTATTTTGATTGGGCAAGAGGTATCTGCATTAAGTTCACATGATTAATTTGAATGATGCAGTTTAGACTTATAGCACTATTTCTAACACAGGGAGAGAGATGAGACCACAAATTAAATGAAAAATAAAAGAGGTTATAGCCAATTAAAATTAGAAGCTTGCTTTCATATTTTTAAACTTACATACATATATCAGAAAAATATATAAATAAAAATTCAAATTGTAATTTGCAATAATCTCTTAACACTCCATTTTAATTTGGCTATTTCCCCCTTATGTCCTAAAAATACTAACTGCTTAGAATAAATCTCTCTGAACTGTATCATTTCCAAATTAATCCGTATCATATAACCTTGGCTGTTTGCTGAGAATCAAACCCTGGACTGAATTACCAGTATTCAGTAACTTTACCACTCAGCCACTCGTGGGCTACAAACACATTATGAACAAAATTTTTGCCCCAAACACTTGCTTCCAGTTTCTTTTGCTAATAAGATGCTATCAAACTGCTCTTTTCTTACTGCAACAGTAGCAAAACTGCAAATGTTATATTCTGGAATAGGCACGATTAGTGTGCTAAGATATTTGTGGCCACAAATGGCAATTAACTCTTTGGCAGTTGCAAAGTTAAGCAATTTTTTCACCCCAAATATGCACAATATCTGTCAGCCACTAAAGGAATAAGATGGCCCTTGTTTTAACCCTAAAATACATTGCTTTGTTACATGTCACTATTTCCGAGCAAGAAAGACATCTTTTTGAAAGGGAAAATATGCATGCATCTTTACAGAAAACTGATTCTTAAAAACAAAAAAAAAAAAAAAGTTATACTATGCTATAGCAAAAAATAATTTTAATCAAAATAATGCTTTGCTATTTGCCATTATATTTTCATTTTATTAATCAGTCAATAAAATAATATGTTAATACTAAATTTTTTAAATGTAACATGACATGTTAGATAGTTGATTTACAAATTAATAAGGCATACAACATTAAAATAATCAAAAGTTTAATAAATATATATATATATTTATATACCAAAAAAGAAAACAGTTTTGCATTTGAAGACTTTGAAACATGGAAAGATACACAATGCGGTATTTCACACTGCTAAAATCTTCTTCTTCACTTATCATCTTCCAAACTTGAAAGTTTCAAAATTTTGAAAAATAAATATCTGAACCCGAAACCGAATTATTTTTATTATCCAATAAAAGATTTCCATATCCAGAATCAGATTCTTCATTTAAAAAATGTGCTTTAGCTTTCCCTTTCGCTCTGTTTCTAGCTATAATGTGCATTCAAATAGTTTAAAAAATTGCTCATTTCCTCCCTTTTATGCAAGATGCTATTTAAATACTCTTCTTTTCCCATTGGCTAATTTAGGTTTTGATTTTCAAAATTTTAATTTTATTGTTGGCACAAGTATTATGCAAGTACCTGCATCATTAATATTATACAGGTGCAATGCTTTTGCCCAACATAGTTGGTCAAAAAAATCACACTTTCAATTTTTCTGCTGCCAAAATTATTCAAAAAACATCTTCCATCGGTGAACTGGATTTTCTAGAGGCATTTCACATTAAAACAATCTTTATGTTCTAGTTAACGATCCTAATTCCAATCCATCTTTGCCTTTAAAGAAATTATGTTTTAGTTCTGGTTTCATCAACAGATGGCACCACTAGCTTATTTTCTGTCCAGGCTTTCTTATCTTATCTGATCATTATGTCCTATCTCGTTCATTTGCGCTTTTGCAGCTGTTGATGGTGGTTCGGCAAAACCATCAAAACTAGTCCTGTGAAACTTTGAAAATATAACGCTGATTTTTGTTGTTTGACTTCTGAATTAGTAAATAAACAATAGCTTGAATTTTTAAAATAAATTAAAAATCTTAAGTTCTGCTGGAAGACAATATATTGAGAAAGTGCTATGTGCAAAGGTATTTGGAAATTTATTTAATATCTTATATTTCACACAGAGGCATTTTCATTTATCTTGTCCATCAGTGTCCGAGGCATGATCCTGTCTACAGATTTTATTTTGAGGGTAATATCTTATATCATAAATATGAACAACATGTCTCTCTCAAGGTGTAATAAACCATGATTACTGAGAAATTTAATTATAATTACACTGTAATTCTAGTTTATTTACATACAGTATAATTATAATGGTGATTATAATTATTAGTAATTGTAATGTAACAGCAATTATAAATCATACAATTTACATTATAATTGTATGATTTATAACACAGTTCAATTGTAATTAAATAAATTGCAATTAAAATTACATTGTGCAATTTATAATACAATTACATTGCAACTGAATAAACTATAATTGCATGATTTATAATAACAATTACATATTCAGTTACAATGTTTGCAATTATATCGTAATTCAATTATTAATCAACTACAATGTAATTTAATTAGGCTCAATTCTGATTCTAACATAAGTAATTATATATATATAAAGACAATTCTGCAATTGAAGGAAAAGGTTCTAATTAACCTTTGAAGCTACTGTTATTCTTGTTACTACAGTAATTTTAATATCTATTGTGTCATCAGGAAAGTTCTGTGGTATTTTGCTGACAAATACAAATCAAGCAGTAAAAAAAGAAAATTTCATTGAATCATTTGGTAGCATAACTTTTTGCCCAACCTACCATAACAAGAAAATTTCTTTTTTAAAAAAAAGGCATTAGGTTCTTTCTGCAAAGTAGTTATCAAGGCAATGTGTGACAATCCTTTAAAAAAAAAAAAATAGACAATTAAGAATGATGTACACCAATTTATTTATGAATTAACACACAAAAGAAAAAAACCTGAAAGCTTTACATTTAGCCCAAAGGGGTGCTTTTTAACGTTTTGGGTCTTACCTTTATTTATTAAATATCATGTTCTTCGCATTTAAACCATAAAATTCAATTAAATAGCAATATCACAAAATAATTTTAAAATGAGCATATCTTTAGAATATCCAACACAGTCTCGTGTGCCAGAGATAAAAATGCCCCCCCATACAGCGTTGCCATTGCTTCGCTTTGAAATCGTTGAGTTTGTTAATCAAAAATTCATTAAAGTGTTACAAAATATGAAATCCATAACAAAACAAAACATTTAAAGTTTTCAATGCAAAATGCCAAAATAAAATTAATAGCCCTTCTGGGATAATGCCCTTTGGGATAAAAAAAAAATCAGGCCATTCAGAAATTTTTAAGCAACCTGAAGAGATGAAAATCAGAAGGGAAGGCAAGGTCTGGTGATTCTAAGGGGTGACACGAAACATCCAACCCATACTCAGCAAGTTGACATTCATTTAAATATGCAAGCCGACATTGGCATGATAGAAGTCTGGTTGACATTCATTTAAATATGCAAGCTGGCATTGGCATGATAGAAGAGAATGCCTCGATGACTGGTAAGTTCTGGGGACTTAAATTTAAGTTTTGCTTTTAAAACTGTTATTTAAGAACAGTATTTTTTCAAATTTATAGTTCGATTAGGTATCTGACCAACTCACACTATTCAGTTCCTTTGTAGTCCCACCATACACAAAGTATTTCCTTTTTGGGATGCAGCCCTCCTTTGATTCTACTAAACTAAAGGAGCTTTCTTGACTTACCTGACGATCTTTTTCTTGAAACATTAGAATGTAATATCCACTTCTCCTTTCATGCATAGATCCCTTTGGAAAAAGCAGCTTTTTTATTTCTTTTCAGCAAAGAATTACATACTGAAACTCAACCAAGCATATTCTGTGTGTTAAAGTATGGGGTTCCCATACTATAGCTACTTACAATCTTCTTCAAATTATCGTGCACTCAGTTTTTAAAATATTTAGTCTGTCTGGATTGTATAACATAGTTTCTTTTCATAGGTCCTTGTTTCTAAAGGATAGGTGTCTAGTGTGAGCATCATTTTTGAGGCTGACATTTTTATGTTTAAACTTCCTAAACCACTTTTAAACTATTTTAATAGAAACAACACTTTGCCCAGAAACATTACAAATTTTACCATCCATCAGATTAGCATTTTCCCATTTTTTGAATAAAAGAGCATAGAGCAACAAAAAGAAACTTTTGGGTTCTCCATTCTTAGTTATGCATTGAAAAAAAAACCTTATGTCATAACAGATGCTAGAATTATGCAGAAAGACAGACTGTGAGCAGAAGAGACCATATTTAAACATCTGCCTTGATCAAGATAACTGCTCATCCACTGTAGGGGGGGGGAATTAGAAGAAAACATATATCGATTTGAAAAACAGCAGAACTTCTTTGAAAACCCAATATAAATCATTTTTTGAGAATTTGGAACAATTATTGTAGCTTTCATATGGAAGGATAAATGTTTCCAGTTGCACAAAATATATTATCCATGTATTTTTATTTTTATTTTAATTAAAATTTGTAATATAATATAAGAGTGTGCCATCCTGCAAAAGGTAACATTTTTCACTCTTTGCTTCTTAATTTTCCATGTTCACTTGTTGATTTTGCATGCTTTAGCAGAGCTTTTCCGCATTTCAGCAATTTCAAAGTGCAGTGTTGATTATGTGAGGTTAAAGTAACTTTATTTAACCTTAACGAATGATTAATTTGAGCATATGTCTACAAATGTAGCCAGGTTACTATTACACTGCCAGACACTAAACAGTACTTTCATATATAGTTATATTTCAATAAATAAATACTTGCCTTTTCTTCGGTTACAATAGAGTGAAAGCCAATTAATTTTCTTTAATGCCATAGTCATGATCAGCACCACCAAATTAAAGAAGATTGAGTACTTTCATTTATGTTACAAAATGTGTATCAAAAGGGAAATTCAGTGAAAAATATTCTTCTTTAAAATATCAATTGCTTATTAATACTAAGGTATACCTAAACATATAAAACTACTGAAATTTACTGAAAATGTACTGATGAGCTACATGTAATTAGAAATTTACACCACTGCAAAAAGTAACATTTCAAGAAAATGAATAATAATGCATATTTTAAAATGAAGAAACTCCTGATACAAATAAATGAATTAAAAATATGTTAACTGTATTTATCATACCAGCTTTTGAGAAAATTTTGTCATCACATCTTTCAGAGAATAAAACTTTTTTTTCATCAAAAAAAGCATCACTAGTAATACATACTGGTTTCGTGTTTCTATGTAATCCTAAAAGAGATAACAAAACGTATGAAGAACAAAAGCTGCTGTTTCTACCTTATATTTATTCTAAACTAAATCATTAAATAGCCCTAATAATTTTTTCCTAAAATAAACTTCTTTTGTTTTAGAAATACTTTTAATTTATTTTAGAAAAATAACAATTTGCATTTAAAATAAAAATCTTAGTATGGTAAAATCCCACTTAACCACAATTGTAACAACAAAAACAACAAATAAATAAATAAATAAATTATTAATCCCCCAAAGCAGCCATATTTAATTGTTTTAAAATGAACTATTTCTAAATTTCTCACTTGAGAATAAACTCAACCATGATGTTATTATGAAGACTAAATTGGATTCTTTGTTGGAATTAAAATCTCGGATTAAACAACTCATAGTGGAATACATCAATTTACCAGAGGAAATTGACTTGAAAGATAATCTAAGCATTACAGAAGAATTAGAAGAAAGAATCGAAGAGTTCGAAATAAGATTTAGAATTTTTCTTTCTAATTGTGAAACAAATAATAAAGATAAATTTGAAACCCAAGCTATTTCTAAATCAAATTTTAATCTGCCTGATTTACCTCTTCCTCAATTTTATGTTAAAGATGAAGATTTTAAAAATTTTAAAGTGCAATTTATGTCTATGATTAGTAATAATAATGATTTAAATGATACTGAGAAACTTTTTTATTTGAAAGTATCACTTAAAGGTGAAGCAAAAATGTTAGAATCATGTCAGGATACATTTGAGTCACTATTTTCTGCACTCGAAAGCAGATATGAAAACAAAAGAGCAGTAGTTGATGCCTTTATTAATAATTTGTTGAACTTTGAAAAAATAAATGACTCACCTTCTCAATTGAGATCACTAGTAGATAATGTTAAAAGATGTTTGAGATCTTTAAGTGTATTAGAATTCGATAGAAATAGTTTAATCTGATGTTTTGATATTAAATACTTTATTGCATAAATTAGATAGAGAATCTAGAAAAGCATTTGAACTAAACGTAAAATCAAATGAAATTCCCAAACTTGATGAATTTTTAGAATTTCTCGAAGAAAGAATTCACATTCTTGAAGAAATAAACAAAGTTAGTTTTCCTAAGCAGAGTTATGCTACTAAAGTATCAAATCAATTAAGTCGCTCTAGAAATTCAAAATCCTTGGTAACTAAAGCAAACCCTTTTCGAAAGTGTATTATGTGTAAAGAACCACACCCAATTTATCATTGTTCGAAATTTAAGAGCATTTCTGTTTCTGAGTGGTATGATTTTGTTAAGGAATATAAATTATGCATTAAATGCCTTTCTCCATCACACGTATTATCGCAGTGTAAGGCTGAATTCAATTCTTATGTCTGTAAGAAAGACACACATCATACGCTGTTGCATAAAAGTGACGAGAAACAAAATGAACCATCGAAAGAAAAAGAATTGACCTTGAACCTTTCGTCAGTGAATGAGAAAGAGGACTGCCCCTCTCCTCCCCCACAAAACTTTGATGGCAGCTGCAAATAAATCTAAATTTGAGTTAATAAATACAGCGATTGTTTATCTTCGCGATGTTTACAATGAACGAATTCCTTTTAGAGCCGTGCTTGATTCAGCTTCGACTTCTAATTTTTGTACTGTAGGTGTTATGAACTCATTAGGAATAAAAAAAGAATGAGCATTTATTCCAGTTAGTGGAATAGGCAACACTACTTTGAATGTTAAATGCGAATAAAGAGGCGTTTATCGAACTTAGAAAAGGAAAATGAATGGGAAATAGAGTTATTAGTTGTTCCCAAAATAACTGACATGACACCATCGAAATCTATTGATATTTCGAAATTAAATATTCCGAAAGGAATAAAGTTAGCTGATGATGAATTTTTCAAGGCAAAAAAGGTAGATTTATTATTAGGTGCGGAATTATTTTGAATTTTTAAAAACAGATAAAATACGTTTAGAAGATAATGAGTTACTTCTTCAAAACAGCTGCTTCGGCTTTTCAGTTTCTGGAAGCATTAGAATTCCAAATGTAAAAAATTATGACTTAAATTATTGTTTTTTGTCAACAGAGATTAATTCGTTAAATAACTTAGTAAAATCATTCTGGGAAGTTGAAGAAGTAAATGAAACTAAATCTACAGTTAATTCTGAATTAAATTACTGCAATGAACTTTTTGAAAACTCATTTTACCGACATGCGGATGGAAGATATGTGGTTAAAATGCCGTTCAAGCCAGATATTGGTGAAAACATACAATTAGGGGATTCAAAGGAAATCGCTGAAAAAAGACTGAATCAATTGTGGAAACGTTTGTCAAGTGATTCTGTAATGAAAGAACTTTTTTGTTTCATTTTTAAGGGAAAATGAATCATTAAATCATATGGAAAAGATGGAAGACTATTCTGAAACTGAAGGAGGATATTTTCTTCCTCATCATGGCGTGCTGAAACCTGATAGTAAAACAACAAAGTTACGCGTCGTGTTCGACGCGAGTGCCAAAACTACTAACGGTTGTTCATTGAACGACATATTATGTAAAGGTGGAATGATTCAAGAGGAACTTTTTTCCATCATGATACGGTTTAGAAAACACATTTATGCATTTACTGCCGATATTGAGAAGATGTTTCGACAAATTGAAATATTGCCATCGCAGACCAAATATCAAAAAAATACTTTGGAAGGAAGATGAAGATAAGCCTATAGAAATATACAGACTCAAAACGGTAACTTATGGCACAGCATGCGCTCCATATTTGGCACAAAGGACTCTTCAACAGTTAGCGAAGGATGAAGAAAAGGATTTTCCTGTAGCATCGAAAGTGGTCTTGGAAGATTTCTATATAGACAACTGTCTTACCGGATCTTCGAATTTGAAGGAATGCATTAAGCTCCAGAAAGATTTGACAGAATTGCTCCAAAGAAGAGGAATGAAGCTACACAAGTGGTGTACTAGTTTGATTTGCAGAACTCTGATTTACAGAATTTTTCATTTGATCGTAATAGTAATACAACTGTGAAGACGTTAGGTATGTTGTGGAATAATAAGAAGGATACATTGCACTATAAAGTTATTACTGTTAATGAAAAGCCTGATGTTATGAAAAGAGATGTTTTATCTCAAATAGCGAGATTATATGATCCTTTAGGCCTACTCGGTCCTATTATTAGCAAGGCAAAGATATTCATGCAAGCACTTTGGTTGCTTAAGCTAGACTGGGCGGAACAGTTACCACCACCTCTTGCCAATGAATGGAATGTGCTTATTAAAACTCTTCAGAGTATAGAAAATATACAAGTACCTCGTTGCATTTTAAAGAGACTTTTCAATGCTCATTTTACAGGGATTTGCGGATGCCTCCGAGAAGGCATTTGGGGCAGTGATATATCTTCAAAGCATTACAAGCCCTGGTGAATATTGTAGTAAACTTCTTTGTAGCAAATCTCGTGTAGCACCAATCAAGACTATGACTATTCCTAGATTAGAACTATCAGCATGTCTACTCCTGTCCAAAACTTATGCAAAAGGTTTTAGAAGCTTTGAAACTCAAAATTGATGACGTTAAGCTCTGGTCAGATTCAAGCATTGCTTTAGCCTGGATCAATACATCACCGCATCTTTTGAAAACCTTTGTGAGTAATAGAGTCTCACAAATTCAACAACTTACTTCTAACTATCAGTGGGGACATGTGTCTTCAGAAATGAACCCAGCCGACATCATTTCCAGAGGATCAGATGCTACAACTCTTGGATCTAACAAGCTGTGGTGGAAAGGTCCTGATTTTTTAAACAAGGACAATTTTCAAGATAAAAATGGACTTTATTCTTCTGAGCTTTATTCTTCTGAACTGAAACCAGTTACGACTTCCTAGTTGACTTTAAAAACTGATTCATTCTTTGATGACTTCCTAAAAATAACTAATGATTTCTTGAAACTAATACGAATTTAGTTAGTTTACTTTTCAGATTTACCTACAACTATAGAAACACAAGTGAGAAACGAACAGGTAGTATTAGTATAGATGAAATGGAGCTCTCAAGGAATACACTCCTTAAATATATCCAAGGTAGGTATTTTGCAGAAGAAATTTCTTTGTTGCAGAAAGGTCTACAAATAACATCAAGGAATAAGTTAAAATATTTTGATCCCTTCTTAGATGAAAAAGGTCTGATAAGGGTAGGTGGTAGGATAAAGAATTTAAATTTAAATTCTTTAAATTATATATATAATTGGATGTCTTTGACTATAACTTATAGTCAAAGACATCCCATTATTTTGCCTGCCAAGAATAAGTTAACTGAACTTATATTTATTTATTTTCATGAAAAGGATTTTCATAATGGTCCACAATCATTATTAAATTCTATTAGACAAATTTATTGGCCCATTAATGGCAGGAATATAGCTAGAAAGAAAGTCCTACCTGCAAATGGTTGTTAAGGAGAATTGTAGATGTGTTTTATGGGAAGGACAACCTTGTGCAAGTTGTCTCCATTAAAACCAAAAATGGTATTTATAAACGAGCAGTTACTAAAATTGCTGTACTGCCAATTGAGAAATAATGTACGAGTTTTTTATGTTTATTTGAAAGTTTGAATTGTAATCTATCATATTTGTTCTTTTCACATTGTAATTACATGGATTATAATTTGTGCATTAATTTACATTGTATCATTTTGTATTGTATGGACATTTATTACTTTTTTGAATTTTACTTACTGTATTGAAATTAATATTTAAACACCAGGCAGGATGTTCGGTGTCTGAAAGAGTATTGCTTGGCAGCATTGTTTTATGCCAAGTAGAGTTTGGCTTTAGTGTAACCCTAAAGTTATTTTGTTTTTGACTTTTCTTAATCCTTAAACTTATTTTATTCTAAATGTATTTAAAAATAAAATTACCATTGAGTATGACATATGCAAAAATCAATGATTTCTATTCAACCCGCCCAAGCAACAAAGCAGATGAAGAGAGATTAAACTAAAAAAAGTAGTTATCTGAAATTGCTCTGTTTAATTAATTTGGATAAATAGGGTTCTAGTGTACACATAATCTAAAATTTTTGTATAAATGAAATCCAGGGGGAGTCAAAAGGCAAGCTATACTTTTACCTGCTTTTGAAGAACTTTTATCATCATTATATGTTTCAGAAGACAAAAAATTTTCTTCAAAAAAAGCATCATCAATGGGACATTCTGGTTTCGTTGTTTCAACCTTCTTAAAGTTTTTATTTAACCCTAAAAATTGATACAGAAAAAATAAATAAATGAATAAGTAATGATGATTAATAAACAAAACAAAAGCTACCACGAATGAAACAAGTATATGTTTTCATAAAATTATTTAAAATTACTTTTAAATCAGGAAGAAAAAAATTTACACTTTTAACTTACAACCATTTTTAACTTACCAAATCTAGAGCTAGGTATTTCAAAATCACTCAGGTCATCAGAGAATATACCATCATCTTTCAAGAGCAATGAGTTATTTAAACTATCAGTATTACTTTTATGCACAATGGGTTTCTTCACATTTTGAAAGTTACTAAAAAAGAATACTGTACTGTAAACATGCACTCAAAAACATTTACAAACAAAAACTACATACATACATACATATAATATGCATGAGCATAGAAAAAAAGCATGCTTAATGAAGGAAAATTATGCAGTTAAAATATAATTTCTTAACCCTTTGATGCGCGTGATATTACTTTTTTAACTAAAAGCTCTAGAAATTGAATATTATGATCCTAGATACAAATAATATATGAATTAAAAAAGTCTACTCTTGCCCATGTGTGGGTGGTGTCGCACTGTGACTCTGTGGTACTCATGTAGTCTGTGGGTGGTGGTCGCACTGTGAAACCACTGTGTGTCTAGGACTTTGAAACTTACTGAGGTAGTAGGAAAAAAACCTAACTTTCTCCGTGCGCGTTTCCAACAAATGACGAAATTTACGAAATTTTTTTTTTAAAAACGTATGCAGGAATTGCATAACATATATTTTTTGTTACATTATTTTACAAAGTAAATCATCAGAAAAAATTAAAAAATAAACTTTTATGTAATTTTTCTATGGCAGTGAAAATATAAGTACCTACATTATAAGGACGTTTGGCTAAATGGATTAAAAAACTCAGTAAAATAAGAATAAAAGAGCAAATATTTTTTGTGACACTGTTCAAAGCATGTTTTGTCTTTTTGGTACATGCATTGACCCACCTTGTCCGTTTCTCACATGTATCTTCTTGTATGAGGTTTCTTCCTTGTGCTACAAAATGTACACTGCCTGTATCTAAATTTACTGGTATATGTCCAGTGTTATTAGTTTTTTCATTTGGCACATGAAATTTGTGGGTTTTTTATGTAATGGGGGGTTTGGTCTTTTTGGCTTGGTACGGATTATTCGTTTTCCCATTCACACTTATTTTATCGTATTTCGTCCAAAATATTCAGAAAATATTTTTAAATTTAAATAAAACTTACGCAATTTCTATTTTTAATTATAGCAAAAGTATTTACATTAAATTTAAATCACAGAAAATAATTTATAAAATCACAATACTAGTTTGGGGAGCAAGTGTGTTGAGGTCAGAGAAAAGTCTCTGGAAAAGAAAGACCTTTTTTACTAGGCAGGTGCCTGTATTTAGTAATAAAATAACTCTGTGGTTTCATAACCCCTTATCTGTATCCAGGTAAAAATAAACATTCCTATTTGAGAAGCAAGCAAACGCCATTATGAAGAGCAGTGGTTTCAAGGCACGACCACCGAGCCTCTAGAGCATTGTGACACAATGCTCTAGTGGTGCAATGGTCGCACCCTGAAACCACAAAGCAAATGCCATACATATAGAAGGTTTTTTTATATATGCAGTTTAATTATTGATATTTTTTATTGTTTATCATAGAAATCATGATGTGCAATGAATAACTTTTGAAATTTAATGTTGTTTATATTAATAAAAGGAAGCCATTTTGTCTCATTGAAAACGAATTTTAAAAGGCATCCGATTTGAAGTACTAAGACCTAAAACGTGTAAGATTCTGCAGTCATTTTGTGTTACTTAGAGGTAAAAGGTCAGTAATCAATTGATTTTCACTCAAAAATTTCGTAACGAAGAGGAGAAAAAAATCGAAAATTGGTGGTTTCAAGGCGCGACCACCGCCTGTCAAAGGGTTAAAACACATTCTTTACATCTTTTTCCTTATTACAGATCTTTAATTAAAACAGTGATAAATAGTGCAATTTTAAAACTTTATATTAAAATTGAATATCTCAAAAAATTCACTATCCAAGTGACAAAAAGTTAAAAAAAATTAATTTCTTTTTTAGTTTTACGAAAAAGTCAAAGAAAGGAATTTTTCACATTATGATACTTTTGGTCACATGACATTAACTAGTAAGTATATATGGAAATTAATTTGTGCCGTAAAAATAAAGTGTCAGTTAAAAAGAAGTTATTCACCATAGAAATAATGTGCAAATGAAATATGATCATTAACTGTTATTAACTAAGTATTTCCTGTTATCATTAACTGCAAAAATGTGTATTAAGTTACCTTCCCACAAATATATACTATATATGTAATAAATTCTGTAGTGGTTGTACCTGCAATGAACACTGGTGGCTGTACCCGTAATAAACAGCTAGAATTTTGATGCCAGAGAATGCTGAAATGCCGATCCGCAAAGAATAAGAAATTTGCAATTAAGGTATATTTAACTTTTATTTCGGTAAACATGTTGTGGCCACAAACAAGTTGGCACATTTATTGTGCCTATTGCAAAAGACTTAAATTTTTGAAATTTTTGATAGATCTGCAGTAAAAAAGAAGGAGCAGACAGACAGCAGTCCAGCTAAGCCAAAAGAGTGAAAGCAAGTGTGTTATGTTCAGAGTGAAATCTTAATTCAGACTGAGTTAGTTTTGGTTCTCAATGCATTTTGGTTGGATGGTTAATATTGCTGTAAAATTACAATTGACTGTTTTAGTTTCATTTACATTATCAGAATTATGTAAGAGTCATACGACATAGAGTTTTCTCGAAATGCAGCAGTGCAAATAAAGGTTAATATTTTTAGAATACAGAAGGGAATTAATTTTCTCTGCTAATTTAATCTTTTACATATTCTTTATTTTTCTTACATATACCCCCTTCAAAAGAAAGGTTGCGCCAGTGGGGCAGAAGAAAAGCATTAGAAAGAAAGTATTAGCACATGAAGAGAGATAATTTGAAAAAATACAAATCCTGAAATTTTGAGCAAAATAATTATTTCCATATTGCAAAATATAAACTTTGATAAGATTTTAGAGTTCTTTAAGAACTTTCAGTCCAGAAGTATTTGTTCTAGAGTCCACATAATTAGTTTTTTTTTTTATTAAAATAATTCAAAATTCTGAAAATTCAAATTAAACCGTAATGTCATTTCTAATTATTAATACAGTAATTTTAATAACCTTTCCTAAATAAAATAATTATAAATCTATAATTTGTTATTTAATTATGTAAAACAATTAGAAAAAAACTACATTTTTAGTATCATACAACATGAATCAATAAAAATGGTACTAAAATTTTAAAATTAATATGAACATCAGATACCGGAATTTTCAAAGCGGTACTTACTAATTAAAACCACTTACTTCACAGTAATAGTTTAGAAAACAGCATTTTTAAAATAATATTTAAATTAATCTAATTAATTATTTCACAGTAACAAAAAATTTAAACATACAATTTAATCTTTTACATATTCTTTATTTTTCTTACATATATAAACATCTGAATTCAATAACAGATTTTTCATTCGAAGACAAATGTTTTTTATACTTCTTTTTTCAACATTAGGTTTCACTCCTTGCATTCTCTCTTTAGGAAGGATACAAGAAGTGATAGCACATGCCCGCTGTTGCCCTATGTATGCTCCTAACACCCCCTAAATTTTCTTCTTTTTTGTTAGAAGATTAAACTATGATCATGAGACTGACTTGGGTTTTTCTATTTTCTTTGCCAGTCACGATCCTCTGACCATAGTTTAGCGCAGAAGTGCTACCACACATGCACACACACACAAATTTTAAAACAAAAATTTTCTTTCTTCTTATTGTAGGGTGTAGATTTATGAAATTTCTTTGAAAATTACTGTTTTATGTTGTAAAGACATTAGGTATTTTGGAAGCAGGAAAAATGAAAAATACACAACGCCTTCGCCAGAAATTGAACCGCGGACCTCTGGAATACGCAACCAGCGTGCAGAACACCACACCACAAAGGCGGGAGAAATACCTTACATACTCCCCTTTTTAAAGGGCAACTGGGTTTCTAAGGGAACCAGTCGCCAAATCCTGGGTGTGGAGAGTCATCATCCACCACTCGTTTTAGTTCGGGCACCACTTGTAGAGACATTAGCTTTTTTGGAAGCAGGAAGGATGAAAAATATGCAATGCCTTCGCCAGGATTAGAACGGCGGACCTTTGGAATATGCGCGCAGAATACCATACCATGAATGCATGCCAAGAGGGCGGGAGAAATACCTTATAAGGGTAAATTAAGTTATATTTTTGCAAAATTTAAAGACTTAACTTGATTATACAAGTTATTTGTCATCAATTTCAGTTTTAAGTTTGTATAATGTTGTATTATTATTAAGTAAGATGAAAGAGTTTTGAAAGAAAACAAAAGACTTTGCCAATGGTACAATGCTAAAAACCAGTTACCTGGTTTATCGAACGGAAGCTTGTACTTTTAGCTTCCCCCAACTGTCAGCAAGTTAGTACAGTGACTTCATTGAAGAGGACATGCCAAAATAATCGACAAAGTTTTAGTGTATTATTTAGTATTGCACTATATTTTTATATTGAATTTTTGTTGTATTAAGTATGTGTTTCCTCAATAGAACAATTTATTTAATTAATTGTAAAATTGCATATTATATTTCATTGAACATAAAAGTTCATTTTACTGCATATGAGTTTCACTAAATATGAAAATTACAGTTTTACTGAATATGAAAATATATGAAAGTTCACAATTTAATATAAAGGGTGATTCTAAATTGTTCTTATGAATTAAGAGGGGTGATAGTACCCATGCAGACGAGCAATAATTGCCATAAAACATAGGGTTGCATTCTACTCTGAGAGACAGAAAAGAGGAAAGTAGAAATGCATCAAGAAAGAACAAGGAAACCATCTCCTAAGACTATTAAGAATTAACCTTATGCAAATTTGCACTGAGAACAAGCAACATTTTGCTCTTAGTTGGTACCGGAGAAAGCCAATCAGAACAAACAGCGTCCTTGAAAACAACACATCATCGCTTCAAGTATTACCTTGATAACATCGTCCAAAACTTTTCGGGAACGCTGTGGCAGAACACATGTACGAGGAATTGGCGGATATTCACCTTCCATATGGTGAAGAAAAGGGAATGGACTTAAAGCATGAAGACTGTATGAACAGCAATTTCTAACTAGTTGGATTCCAAGTTCCAAATGTGCCCATAACTGAAGTTGTTTTGAACCAACGTAATTATAAGAAAACTTTAAAAATCAATTTCACAAACTAGGTCTTCAAATTTTCACCTTTAAATATAATGATCCCAAAAATAAAGCTTGAACTTCAAAGGAGAGATTGCTACACAGTGCACCATATATTCTAGAAACTCCAACAGTCACCAGTCATTAGCTCGATTGAACACATTTAGGAAGAAGTGAAAAGGAAACTTCAAAAGGGTCCAGGATTAAATAAACATAACCTAAGGCATCCTTCAATATAAAAATAAGAAAACATTAACATAAGGTGTGCTTAAATTTGGCAAATTCATGTCTAAATACCTCAAAAGCAAAATAATATTACACTAATAAAATTTGTCTTTCTTTAATAAAAGCATAATGTTATGTGTATGGAAATTTTTTCCATTTACCTTTATTTTTACTATGTACAAGTTAGCTTTTTTTATTACTTGTGCAAATTAAATGTCTTAAATATACTTTGAAACATATTACAGTGATGATTTAATTCACCTAAATGTGAATTAGCATATTTGGTACTTTTCCATTTCGGCAACGCAAATCTGCCAAGTAAACTTTATTGGTGAAAACACACAGTATATACGTAAAAAGTGTTGACAAATGTTAGTTCTAAGAATTTTTTATTTTGAAGGTATAAATATTTTAATGTCATTTAAAATTTTGTAAAAAAGGCCAATAAATTTGTAAAAAGACCTTAAGAATTTACTATGCTTTCATCCTACAACAGTCCTGATTCGCCGGTTCAAGTGACCTCAAGTGATCTCATCTCACGTAAACTATACGACATAAATCTAATTCTCTCAGTAATTATTGACATTAATTTCAAGTTAAATCTTAATTTGGAATACAAGTTTAAATGCAAGAATTATTTCAATTCGTACGAATAGCTTACTCAGAAATTAAAACTGCAGTGCTTTACTTTGCTAGTACATTCTCATTAGAATTGATGAATTTAACCCTTGACTTTGGTCTTTCCTATATTTTCGCCATCGGGTGAACGGTGTGATTGCATCCTAATTAATTACCGCCTGTGAATGACCTTAGGGCATAAAATCGAACTATCTGGTAAAAATTCTATGTCATGTAATTGTATGCCAGTATTGAAAGAAACAATCAATCTGATAAGAAATGGCTGCAACTTGTTTTGAAAATTTAAAAGTTACCAACAAGGATATTTCTTTTGGCATCAGTTGTACCATTACTAGAGACTTTATTGCTTGCACCAGCAAAACGAAAAAGTACCGCATATTTAAATAAAAACCTCATGAAAAAATTTTAAATCATTTTAAATTGTATAAGTGTATGGATACTCCCTCCCCACTGTATCATTTTGAAATTTATGTATAATACTGAAATGAATTATTAAATAAACTACATAATATAATAAATAAATAATAAATTACTAACTTTGGAAAAAAATTTGTAATAGTCCCTTGCTTTGAAGGTACTTGTTTGGCAATGAAATTTGGTGAGTTAGCTTTTACAGATTTACATATGCTCAAATTGTTCAGGACAGTTTTATTTTCTGTTGATTGCAGTTCTTTGTCTGCACAAGTGACACTAGAGTTTTTTTGAAGACTCAAGGACTTCCGAAATGTAAACCGCTTTCTGCAATAAGAAAAAAAAGCATGGCTATGATTAATATTAACACATAAACTAAAAAAAAATTAAATAGATATGTATACCTAATTTTAACTAAATTTAATTCAAAATTCACATGCATTTACTATTTCACGTAAGGACTGAACAATTTCAACCAATACATTAGCAGTGATAATTAATCACTACATGAAAAATTATTACTGGCGGTGATTATTAAAATATATCAATCAGCTCTTCTTAAAATAACTTCTGCTTATGAAAAAAACTTCAAATAAAAGTCTGTTTGATTTTATGAAACCAATATTTATCGTTACATATTCAAAGATCAAAATCCACCAAACATGTAAAGTTATCTTTGTACAGTACAATTATGTTCAAGACGTTTTGAAAAAAAAAAAAAAAAAAAAAAAAAAAAAACATTATTTTCATGTGCAATTTTTACACTTCTGGTTTTGCAAGTGTAAAGTACCCTTTTGCGGTAAAAGTATATTTATGGGTGCTTCTTGGCGAAAACTGCCGATTTTTTGGTGGTACATGAATACTGAGTTTGTGCAATTCTTTGGCTTGTTATTTTGGCTTTGTGTAGCACCGATTTTTTTAGCCAAATCACCTCAACAGGTAAAATAAGTCAAATAAATAGATAAAATAAGATAAAATAAGTCAAAGAACTGCACAGTTAGAGTAGAGAGAAGGTTATCCCTTGTATTATCGCGAAGTTGTTGTTTCATTTAAGGTATCTTAAGTCGTTGAATGATATGGAAATCCTGTTATGACCTTCGGTTGCACAATTGCTGTAAATTCCTAATGTGGATGTGTGTTGGTTAGGAAGTATATTGCTTGTTTTGTGGTTTAGATGGTAAAATGGCTGAATGTGATAAGATTAATTAGAAATTTCTGTACAATTTGGAAAGAAAGGGGAAAACAACATTACTTGATTGGTGTGTAAATGAAGGTTTACTTAGTAGCCATTATTAAGTGTCCTGTTTGTAGGAAAGAAATGTGCAGGGTTGAACGTCGCTATGGAGTATATTTTTACTCTTATTTTGTGAATTTATGTGGCAATGCCAGTATACAGATTCTAGTTCAGATGACTTTAGGAAGTTTTCGGATGCTGTTAAGAAATTTTGTTTGACTGAAGACATGTTAATTTGTAAATAAGGTAAGTGGATATTTCTTTTGTGTAGTGCAAAGATGAATTTCCTTTTTTATGTTACTTCATTGTTTGATTTAAAATACAGTTTTTTGAGATTATATATTTTTTTGTTGGCTGCTTCTTTAACTTTTTAAGTTAAAGGGATATAATTCGATGTGTACATGCTCAAAAACAGTACACAATGCTTAAAGTTTGTACAATTCTCTGATGTTTTTTTTAAGTGAAAATAGGTCGATGTGTACATGGTTAAAGTCAACAGAGTGCGCTATGCTACGTTTGTGCAATTCTCTGATTTTTTTTTTAAATAGGTCGATGTGTAGATGGATACAGAGTTTGTGCAATTCTTTGTCTTGTTAGTTTGGCTTTGTGTAGCGGTGATTTTTGGCACAAAAATCAAGCCAAAGAATTGCACAAACTCGGTCTCCATGTACCGCCAAAAATTGCCAATTTTGCCAAGGGGTATCCATAAATATATTTTGGTTAATCTTTGGATTATGGTAATATGGCGATTTTTTAGTGGAAATTTGGCAACCAACCCTGCTAGTTTTTGTTTGGAAGCCATTTTGTTTTCATGACGTAAAGGCATTTTTTTTTTCCTCAACATTTTTTTCCAACAATCTGCTAGCCGAATTACGCTTATGTTAGAACTTTTATGAAACAAAAGTGCTTAATCATGACGAAGATTAGGTCCGAAATTGGCAGAAAGTGCAGAATCGCAAACTGCTTACCGCATTTTTTAAGAACTGCACATACACGGTATCCATGTACGTTGGCCTATTTTCACTTGAAAAAAATCCCAGAATTGCACAAAAATGGCATTGCGCACACTCTTGACTTTATCCATGTACACTGCTAAAGTCCTTCTAGTAACCTTTATCGCCTTACCAAAATGTCGCCAAACTACCTGTTACCATATTCCAAAGATTAGCCTTTATTTTTACCAATTGCATAAACTCGATATCCATGTACACATTGACCTATTTTCACTTAAAAAAACATCACAGAATTGCACAAACTTGGCAGTGCGCACTGCCTTCACTCTGTCCATACACACATTGATCTATACAGTACAAAGTCTGTAATCCAAACGTCCATTGTCCAGAATAATCTATAATCCAGACCTCAAAGCCACAAACTTGACGCATGCGCGTAGAGAATGCACATACACTATGCACACGCATACGTAACGCATGCTTTATGCATGCGTGCGTTGAAAGAAATGTTTAATAAAGTAAACAAATAAATATTAAGCTTTTTTTTTTGTAAAATTTGATACCCTTTAGATCATAATTGCTCTTTATTTCATAAATTACGGTTTCATATTTTTAATTGTATAATTTATGCATGCCATCTTACCAGATTTAAATTGATGATCTTTAATCTGGAAAACCCCCGAATCCAGAATCACTGAAGTCCAGACGAGTCCGGATTATGGATTTTGTACTGTATTCCTTTAAAAAGTCAAAGGAGCAGCCAACAAAAAATGCACAATAACAATAAACTACATTTTAAATCAAGCAATGAAATAACATAAAAAAAGGAAATTCATCTTTGCACTACACAAAGGAAATATCCACTCACCGTATTTACAAATTTCTGTCCTAAGTCAAACAAAATTCCTTAAGAGCATCCAAAAACATCCTAAAATTATCTGAACTAGAATCCGTATATCGGCGTCACGAAGTAAATTCACAAAAAATATCTTCCGTAGTGCCGGTATCCTACGACATACGACCATACAAAATTCCTTTCTACACACAAGACACTTTTTAAAGTAACTACTACTTTTTAAAGTAGCTAGTAAGTAAACTTTCGGTAAAAGTATATTTTAGTGTACACCTTGGCGAAACCTGGCGGAACATGAATACCAAATTTGTGCAAGTCTTTGACTTGTTATTTTGGCTTGCGTAGGCGAAAAATCGCTGCTACACAAAGCCAAAATAACAAGATGAAGAATGGTACAAATTTGGTATCCATGTACACATTGACCTATTTTCACTTAAAAAAAAAATATCTCAGAATTGCCCAAAAATGGCATTGCACACTCCCTTGACTTTATCTATGCACACATCGACCTATTTTCACTTAAAAAAACATCAGAGAATTGCACAAACTAGGCTTTGTGTACTCCTTTTAGTTTGGTCATGTACACATCGATATATTTTCAATTAAAAAGACAAAGGAGCACTCAATTCTACAGTAGAGGCAAACAAAAAATACATATTCTCAATAAACTACATTTTAAACCAAACAATAAAATAACATAAAAAAAGAAAAAAACCTGTTTTGCATTTAAGCTTTTCACAAAGCAAATATCCACTTACTTCTGTGGCACACAAAATTTCTTAACAGCATCCAAAAAACTTCCTAAAATTATCTGAACTAGAATTTGTATATCGGCGTCACCACATAAATTCCAAAAATATCCTACGTATTCCGGACTGTCCGGAAAATGGCTGCTAAGTAAACCTTCAGTCAGTCAATTAATGCACTTTTCCCCTTTCATTCCAAATCGTACAGAAACTTCAAATTAATTTTACTACCTTCAGTCATTCTACCATCTAAATGAAACAAGCAATGCACTTCCAAACCACACACACCACAAAAGCCCTTAACATCCCATGATTCAAAATTTCTCAGAATAATGCAAATGATTACATTATAATAGGGTTTCCATAACATTCAACTACTCAGGTTACTATAAATAAAACAACAACTTAGCGATAAATGAACCAACAACATTGCAATAATACAAGGGGTACCCTAAAGTCAACTCGAACTAAACCTTCAATTACACACCAGTCAATTAATGCTCTTTTCCCCTTTCGTTCCAAGTCGTACAGAAAATTAATCTTACCACATGTAGCCAGTCTACCGTCTAAACAACAGAAACAAACAATGCACTTCCTGAGCAACATACAACATAAACTCTTACAAATATTTTCCTATCATTCAAAATATATCACAATCACACAAGGTTATGGAAACCATATTATGACTGCATCATAATATGGTTTCCATAACCTGAAACTACTAAGGTTACCATAAATGAAACAACTTCGCGATAATACAAGGGGCACCCTTTAATCTACACTAAACCCTCTTTGCTCTCTGAAGTACAATTACGCTGAAGCAAAAATTTAGAGAACATTTCAAAAATTCAGGAAAATGTAACAAAGAGATTAAAGAGTACTGACATGTTAATGCCTACAAAAGTATTCATAAGGTATATGAACTTACCAAGACATGTTTCATCTTAAACAGAATCTATCTAGAAAACTGGGCTAAAGTGCAGAATCGCCCACTTATTTGGCACGTTATGTTTGGCGTTTTTTACGAGATTGATAAGTGCGCCAAATGTGGTATCCAAGTCGATTTTGCCGCTCTGGAAGGCAAATTTCAGAGCATTTTCGCGCATGCGTAGTATGTATTTTTAATTGAGAATTTCTTTTGAGCGAGAAATTCAGAGCATTTTCGTGCGTGCTCAATATGTATTTTAAAATTTAGACTTTCTGATTGGTGTAGATGATAATAGATGGTAGAGGTGCAGTTATTTTAATAATAATTCGAGAACATTTTGAGAATTCATTACTTTTTGTTCATCAGCTGAGCGGAGTGGATTACCCCTTTTCAGGTAAGTGAAAATACAGACGTCCATAATCCGGAATGATCTATAATCCGGACCTACCTCAAAGCTACAAACTTTCTGCGCATGCGTAATGCGTTTACAAAACACCTTTACGCATGCACATATGCATGCACATAATATGTTTACAGATGCGTGTTTAATGTATAATGGACGGTACAACCTAAGCTAAAATTATCTAACTATCTATTTCAGTTAATATTGCAG